TCGAAAAAAAGTTGAATGTCGTAGCCAAAAACCAATGAACAATTAATTTTTCAAATAAGAGTGTAGTATATTTAAAATGATTGATGGTGACCGAATCTGCCCATCCAAATACGAAAATATATCTATTATATCTCTGCGATCAGAGCCATCTAACGGCAGTGACACAAAACAAGACACTTGCGTGGCCACCTTAACCAGTTTGGTTGATGTACCAATATCTGGAAGTGTTATAGATACATTAAAATCATTTTTGAAGGCAATCTAGAAGAAATGTATCGAAATGTCACAAGTTTATAGTTTTAAGAACCCTTACCTCACTTGTTAATGTTGCTTCCATTGGGCTAAATTAAATGAATAAAAAACTACCGCAGATCGATTATGGGTCAACAGCGGCTATTTAATTTAGGAATTCTTTCTAGTGAATACAAACCATCTGATTCTATTGATTTTTTCGAAATGTTTAATATGAAGGTGTGTCGCTTTAGTGTCGAGTACGTTACCTATCGAGTTTAATGTTTTGGGTGTTAATTTAAATGTTTTATGACTCACAATATTCTTATGTAAATACCCATATCTACACGGTACAGTTATTGAATGTAGAACGCTAGACTGTATAACATCATTACCATGCATAATAATTGAAAGTTTTGTTTGTGCACTTTTACTTTTTATAAAATTCATCAGTTTATCCGGTAAATTATAAAAAAGGGAAACTTGATGGGCGTGTGGCACACGGGCGGTCAAACACATACATAGAATTGTCCCGCGCAGCGCCCTCTCGTTTTCGTCGTCGTGAACATCTCTTAAAATGCAGATGAGACGTCTGACGGTGACGTGATCGCAATAAACACCTCGTTCCACGACTTGGGCGACCTTGCGATTTCAATGGAATTGTCACGGATGATAACACGTAACATTTAGATAATTCAAAAGACACAAATAATTAAGTAGCGGGTTAGACAATGCAGCAACAATTACCCAACGTCCATTTTGAGGTCTCGCCTAACGATTCCAATGCACCTGACTCTAACACAATTAGGTTCTTTGTCGTAACCTTGTCTCAGTTACCTCCTTTTTCGCCGTTTTAATTTGCTCGAATATGCAAATCGACCGTTTTCGATTATATAATGGAGTTGCAAAGTGTGTCAATTACCGAGAGTAATTAGTTTCCATTAAATCCGCCGTAATTGCGGACATAACTACGATAACCGGAGTGTCGTCTAATCGACAATTTATGTGTAGTTTTAATCGCCGAGATTACCAAGGTTCGTGGCATACGGCAAAGACGTAAATAGTATTATCGAAAAACCGCAAAGCCTATCGTTTTCGTTCGAAAATAATCTCGAAAACAAGTCCAAGTCGTGTCCGCTCAAGAGCAAACCATCCCGAATTAAATTACCCAATTTGAATGTCCGCGTTTAGTTTGGCTCCTCCGAACCCAATAACTTCTTCGGCCGCCTATTAGTCGTCGCCGACAAAATCTACCAGATTACAAAACGGCGACCGCATTAATAAACATCAATCCGGTGGTCCTTCGAGCCGGATAATATCGATTTCGGCCGGCGAAGTCGCTCCTTGCATAACAACAAGCAAGTAAGCAAGCAAGCGAGCCTTCGACAATGACGCCTCGCCGCAATTCTCGCTGATTGCATAATGGTCCTTTCCTGGTGCCGTCGCGGCTCCGCCGGCCGCTGATTGGCGCTGCATCTGACCGCTGTCGATTCTAGTTGATTGGCGCGGAATTGGACCTAACGACCGCGGCTCGGGGCGAAAATGGAAATGGCGGAGTGTGTTCTTTAAGTCAGGGCCGCCGTAAGCGGGGGTGCAAGGCGTGCACCGCACGCGGGCGCTGCCAAAGGGGGGCGGCAAATTGGCACGCAAAGCAGCACTTTTCAAAATTTCCAAAATAATATAAAAAAATGTACAACTCGAAAAAAGGGTTTATTGAGACTTTGGGAGAAAGCAAAGAAAGAAATATTGTTTAGGTCATCCAGTCATTGGTAAATCAATAAACATCTGTTTTTTATAGTGCATGGTGAACAAACTTGTAGATCGGTAAAGCATAAAGGAATAAGTTTCCAGAATTGTTTGTCGGAACGTCAAGGGAGATGTTAGCAATAAATGAAATTATTTTAGTAATTCACAGAAAGGTGTTAAAGAACATTGCTCCAAAAATTAGTTGGTGTCCAAGGTGGCAAATGCAACATAATTGTTATTTGCACTTGTAGTTTGGACGCTAAATTTATTTTATTTATACGTATCACATTGGCAAAATCTTTGATGATTTGCTGGAAATACCCGAAGATACTTCTTCGTGGTAGTTATTTGTTCAACGATAATTTGATTTGATAAGTATTTTGAATCAAATCAACATCTTAACTAAAATGATGCAGAATCCTAACATCAACATCAAAGTATAAGGGTGTGGGGACAAAAAATCTGCACAAATTTTAATTTACCGAAAATCGAGTTAGCTTTGAGAAAAATGACGGTTGACGTTATGACATTTTTTGACAGTTGTTAAAAATTGTTACGCCTAGTTCCTCTTGAATGTTTCAATATTTTTTGTAATAATGGAACACTTAAATGAAAATGATCGCCGATGTGTGATTGCCGAATTTTATAGAAGGCATATGCATTTAAAAAAGTCATTCACCGTTAATCACTTCTTCCAAGTGGGGATATCAAAAAGGACAACTTATAGCATTTGCAGAAGAGTAGAGAATGGGAATTCGGTAGAAAGACAAGTAGGAAGCGGAAGACCAGCAAGAAAAATGCCCCAGAAGAAGAGAGAAGCCTTAGTCAATCAAAGTCACGGTAAACTTGGTGTTTCACTAAGAAAGCTTGGACGGAAATTTAAAATTGACAAAAAGTATGTTAGCAACATATTAAAGGAGAACAATGTCAAGCTTGCAACGCGAAAATCCGCCCCCAAATATTCAGAAAAACAAAAGCTGGAACAAAAACGAAAATTAAGGCATCTTTCTGAATCCGCTTTTTCCCCCTCAAATGGAACTGAAATAATCATGGATGACGAATCCTACTTCACTTTTGATGGTAGCGATACTGCTAACAATAAACATTTCTATTGCAAGAAAGGAGAAGAAGTAGATGATAAAGTGAAATTCAAACGTCATAAAAAATTTCAGTCCAAGTTGTTGGTCTGGTTGGCCATTTCTTCACGTGGACATTCTACTGCGTTTATTTGCCCATCTGGAAATTCTGTTAATGCAGATATTTATGAAAAACAGTGCATTAGGTCTCGACTTGTCCGCTTTATAAGAGAAAAGCATTCGGATGGCAATTTTGTATTTTGGCCAGACATGACAACAGCTCATTACGCAGCTAACGTTATTGCTGCATATAATGAGTTAAACATTAATTTTATCCCTAAGGACAAAAATGTTCCCAACGTACCTCAACTACGCCCAATTGAACGTTTTTGGAGAAACCTAAAGAGGAATGTGTACAAAAACGGATGGGAAGCCTCGACACATGCAGAATTAAAGAAGCCTATACTGCTGAAAATACGGCAAACAAAAATATCGGCTTTTACAAATTTAATGCGCCGTGTTAAAACAAAAATTCGTAAAGCAAGCAGATATGGTGCAGATTGTGTTCTTTAAAGTTGTTTTTATAAATGTTGTTGATCACGTTATTAATACCTGCTTTTATAATACAGTTATTCTAGTTTGAAATTTGTGCAGATTTTTTGTCCCCACACCCTTATATCAATTTACTTAAAGATGTTATAGGTTACTTTACCAAATATCGTTCAGATGAAAGTTTTGCTAAAATTAAACTGAAACAGACAAACTTGCCTATGAAATTAATGTTGAACCATTTTTTCCGCCAATCCAAACCGTGCGCCCAAGAAGAAAACCGAAACATTTTGATCACGAGCAGAATTACGAAGTTGTAGATCCAAAAATTAATTTTAAAAAACATTTTTTTTACCGAATTCTGAACCAAACTTTGTCTTCTTTAAATAATAGATTTGAGGAAGTAAACACATATGATAATGTATTTGGGTTTTTCAATAATGTGTTTAAGTCCTCAGAAGAAGACATGTTAAAAAACTGTAAAGATTTACATTTAAAACTTGCAGTTGATTCCGTTGGTGAGGTCGACATTGCCGTATTTAATAAGATTAAAGCTTTAAAACTGCACTCTTCAGCTATACCGTTAGAAGATTCCCACCAAATTTTACGTATTGGTGTGAAAACAATTTAATCTCAACTTTTCCGATACATCAATAGCATTAAGAACTTTGCTTACACCACCAGTTTCGGTTGCATCTGGCCAGCGATCCTTTTCAAAATTGAAAATAATAAAAAATTATCTCGGATCAACCATGAGTCAAGGCAGGCTAAGTAACTTATCTATTGTTGCAATTGAACATGAACTGTTAGACAATTTGGACATAAAAAAATAGTTGCAGAATTTCCCAGTATGAAATCTAAAAACATTCATTTGGTTTAGTAAAAAAATATTTAATTGCATTATCTTGTATGCTGTAGGTTTTTTCGTTTCTTTTTTTTGTATTCAGTTATATTATATGGATACAAATGTATTTATGTTTGTTTGTTTGTTCATTTTTTGCCTAAAATAAAATTTTAATTCTAACGTTTTAAAGACTGGCCCTTAATTTTCCACTGATTTTAATACAATTTTTACTTTAAAATTTTTTTATCTATATTGAAGAGGGGCGCTAAATTTAAACTTGCACTCGGGCGCCAAAAGTTCTAGCGGCGGCCCTGCTTTAAGTAAACTAGTAACTAATTTCATTTAGAAAAAGTGTATGTGTTACGCTACGCACCCATAAAGCAACCGGTGCGTGCATTTTTGCATACGGCGGTTTCTTTTTCCTAATTAAAATGTTACCGTTGGATGAAAGGGAGCGTTATTTCGGCGTAGAGCGTCCGAGAGGCGACTTTCTGCGTCCGTATGTATCGGGTCGTCGGTGTTGAGTTTTTCCCCTAATGTTTGCTTTGTTCCAGGAACGACCGAACGAGTGTGCCTCATAACCGGTAGCGTGGACGCAATTATGATAGTAGCAGATTTCATAGCCGAAAAGATCCGAGAGAAGCCCGATTTGACGAAACCACTAGTCGAAACCGAAAGTAAATTAATGCAGGACAGAGACAAGCAAGTCAAGATATTAGTGCCGAATTCGACGGCGGGCATGATCATCGGCAAGGCGGGTAACTACATTAAGCAGATTAAAGAGAGCAGCGGTTCTTACGTGCAGATTTCTCAGAAGGCCAAGGATGTTAGTTTGCAAGAGAGATGTATAACTGTTATAGGTAAGGAGGCGCGACCGAAATATGCGTAAGTCGTCTGTGTTGTAATTACGCCAGCGCGTGTATGCATGCGAGTGCTATTTTCGCCAGAAGCAACCTTGGGCGGCGTCACACTTATTCTTATTACTGGTGCTGTTATGTCATCGGCGTGTGATGCACACCGCCACCTGCGAAAGTTGATTTATCGCAGCCATATTGCAGGAATCGGAAATGGCGCCAAAGCCGACGGATCGATCTATGATGCTTACAAAACGTGCGCTTGTTGTTTTCGTTTTTGAATCAATGGGAGTCGTTTTCGTAGTAAAGCCAAAGAGAATGTTTTTTTTTCCGGCTGCAGCGGCGCGCCATCTTGACGGAAACATTGATCCACGTCTTGTGTTGCAGGTGAAAAGGAACAAAACAGGCAAGCGTGCCAGATGATCTTGAGCAAGATCGTCGAGGACCCGCAGAGCGGAACGTGCCTGAACGTGTCGTACGCGGACGTCAACGGTCCCGTCGCCAACTACAACCCCACGGGTTCGCCGTTCGCCCAGCAGAACGCCGGCAGCGCGTTCAACGCGTCGACGGCGAGTCTCAACAGCGGGCTCAGCTCGGTTTCTCAAAGCATCATGCTCAACGGAGGGCTCAATCTCAGCCTAAACCTGAACACGCCGGGTCAGAACGTGGGCACGGTGACGGCTCAGCTGTTGGACCACATCAAAGTAAGTTCAAAATTCGGATTTGTATATCTTATTGAATCGATTTTTTGCAGTTGCAACTGCGCAACACCGGCTTTTCCGACTCGCACATCGTCGAGATCTGCGCCGCGCTGTCCGTGCTGGCCAAGTACGGCATCCTGGCGATGGGCCTGGGTCTGGGCAGCGCCCACACGGGCGCGCTGCCCGTCTCGAGCTACCTGGGCGTGATGGACCAAGCCAGCGCCGCCACGGCGAACACGGGGGCGGTCTTCGGGCCTATCGGGGGCCAGGTCAGTTTAGCAGAATGCCATTTGGGTAAGTCGATGGAGTGGCGGTCGGTGCGGGCGCAAGAGGGCACTAACTGAGTTGTTGCAGGTACCACGTCCCCAACTCCACGAACCAACCTAGAAAGGTATGATTCAACATTCGATCCATTCAGACATCAAAGTTCACCCGCAACAGCACCCATCTCAATCAACAATAACAGCTTTGGTCTAGGTACAGGTCAACAAATGGCTGTGCTAAGTAAAAGTCCCACGCCTGCGGAATTAAATGGTGCTAAAGACACTAAAAATGTCGAAATTGCAGAAGTAATTGTTGGTGCTATTTTAGGTAATGGGCGATTTAACATCCATTCATTCATTTTATGACGTGACTTTGGTTTAGTTGCTGGCGCGCGACCGGGGGCAGCGCGCGCCGCCCCTCGTTACCGATAGTAGCGTATGTAGTATCACACAGAAAGTGAGAGAGTCGGTGGCGGTGACGAGGGTCGGCACGTGCGTTGTGGCCGGTGCACGCGAACGCAAAGACATGGTGGTGCGTTGTTTGCAGGTCCTGGGGGCCGTTCGTTAGTTGAGATTCAGCAGCTGAGCGGGGCCAACATCCAGATATCTAAGAAGGGTATTTTCGCACCGGGAACGCGCAATAGGATAGTGACCATATCGGGTAGTCCGCAATCGATAAACACGGCCCAATATCTGATCGAACAACGCATCTCTGAGGAAGAACTGAAGAGGGCACGAAACAACGGCCTTGGTACTCTAACCATGCAGTGATGGCGTCAAATCGTTTCAAATTCACCTAGATTGTTCAGGTACACGCAACAGAGATTGTTAATGTTTTAAAACAAAAAAAAGAAGAAAAAAAACAACGGGCAAATTCTTTTTATTTCCAGTTGAATGTATAATAGGGAGGCATTTTTACTAGTTTGTTGTTGCTAATTTTTAAAAAAACGAAAGTTATTTATGACGATGACTCAAGGCAAATTGCGCAAGGCTGTTTATATACAATGTGAACTTTTTAAAAGATGTATACCTATTTACATTGTTTGTACTGTACCGCGGGTAGTATGGAAATTTTTTATAGTCAATTCCGTGAAAATGTGATGTGATTTGTTATTTATTTTTGTTTTGTTTTTTATCTTATTGTAAGGGTAAATCTTGGATGGTCGTGTCGTCCCCATGCAAGGTTCGCCCCTCCGAAATTTTCGTTGTTCTGTTTGATGTAATTACAAAAGTTTAATTATATGAAGCAAATTTAAGGTAAATGATCTGATTTTACGAGATTTAGAGTAGTCGTAATTCTAATTGAGGAAAAAATTGTGATTCTTCATTCATTCACATCATTATCAACACTCTGATGTTTGTACCCATTCATTTGCTTTTTTTGTATATAAAGTTTATTTTATATAGTTGTTATGGAGCGGTGCGCGCCGGTGGCGCGCGTTTTGTAGGTTAATTAATTAGAGGTGCGTGCGTATGTGATTGGTAATAATAGCAAGTCATCCGAGCAATTCCTAAATTTTGTACCTGCTGAAGAACCTCATCAATATGACAAGCGACATTTGGCTGGCCAAAGAGCATATTGAATTTATTTAGATGAGAATATTTTAACGCAAACAAACAAACAAACAAAAATAAGAAGAAACTTTTTAAAAAAAATCGATCCGTTACCAATCATGAGATTTATTTTTCGGGGTCTCGGCCGAAAGGCATGACATTGTAAATAGTCATAGCGTTAGTCATCTATACTCACCCAACTCTGCTGTTATTCCTTCTATAGATCTATATATTATTATTAAAAGAATATATATGAAGATAAATGTAACTAAAAATTATATATTGTTGTTATCGCATGTTGTTAATATTGTTAATGTTTGGACACTCGCTGCTGAATATTTAACAAAGCCGTTGACTAATCGACTCGCATGCGTTAACCGTTCAAAATTTTACTTTTTAGGGTTTAATTTAGCCGGATCTATGCAGGTCATAGACGCGTGTTTTCACCGAGCGTGGTAAGCTGTGGCATTCCATTTAACCGAGAGTAAAACGTACCATACAAAGAGATATCTATATAGTTTTGTTACGGATGTTTTATTTTTTTATTTGATTTTCGATTGTTGACGGAATAGTTAAAATATTAAGACGCCGTTAACACAGCATAGTTTCATTGTCTAAATGTATGTGATCGCCGTAGTTTCATAATGTTGAGTCAAAGATATTAATATTCTCTAAACGATTGTTCAAGATTTGTGCGCTTCGTAAATCAAAGATGAAAAAAAAAAAAGTAAATTGGTCTATATTTCATGTTAAAGTCTTTTAGATATTTAAGAATTGTTTCGTTTTAGTTGTTGCTTCTCCACGTTTTAACATATGCCTCATACTTTGATATATATTGAGAAACTGTTCTATATACAACATTACTGTTGCTGTGATATTCACATCTGTGGGGTTACCTGTCTCAGGCCCTGGTCGCCCGTCGCTCCGCGCGCCGAAACGTGCAATATTTAACGTAGTACCGTACGTATTACTGTCCGTCGCCGGAGCCGTCGGGCGGTCCACCGCTCTCGGGGTAACTGTGAATTAGCTAGAGAGTTCATATGATATATATAATACATTGAGAGAAATATAATATAGTCGAGTCACGTGGGTGCGTCCCGTGCTTGCCATCGGTCAATCTCATCTGTCACTATGACATTAAAAGCAGCCATCCCCGATCTATCCACAGTGCAAATCAAAGTGACCTTCATCAAACGTAAACAATGTTGTGACTAGTCTTCGTTTGTTTTCGTGTGACGTCTTTAATGTCACGGTGACACAGTGGCGGCTGAGCAGCGCCACCTTCGCTTCTCATTTTGTTGTATATTTTTATTATCGCTATGTTGTAGTGGGCCGTGCTCGCCGCGGACGCCTTCCTCGTCGCCGCGGCGCACGAGAGGCCTACGGTGGGCCGGGCCAGCACGGCGTCCCCTTCTAGCCATTATGATTTTACGATATAAGTTAGTCTAGGTGATTTAGTCATTTCGTGGTAAGGATAGCTTAGGTTATAAGTGAATCGGGGGCTAAAGGTACCTTATGACTGTGTGTGTGCGCGCGTGTGGCAACATCTCCGAGTCCGGCATAACCGATCGAGTTACCATGAGTATGTCCGCTGCTGCAGTGTTTGTGTTTTGTCGAAAGCCGATTTATTCTTTGCTGTAGTAAGGGTTCTGTTGGCCGATACGTAACGTTAGTTACAGTTGCATTAGTCAGAATTGTTTGTACAGTGATAATAGTTTACAGTTTTAAGGAGGTGACACGGGTTCTAGTTCTTTCGAAAGCCGCTGTGGCAGCGTCGTCGGGTTCCGGACGGACCCGAGGACGGTGCCGAACATTTTTTTTTGTTTTTTTCTTTTTTAATAAGTTAGTCCACAGCATTGTCAAACACACTATAATTCAATAAAATCCATAGTGCCATATATCGTATTATTCATGATTCCTCATAACACGCAACATTAACATGTCCATTGGAGCACTCTATTGCGAAGCCTTCCGAAGGGACAATCAAATCTTTTTGAGCGAATGTGATGGGTCATTACCAATTTTCCAAAAGAGTGCTCCCGGTCTACACCTACAGCTCAGCTTGATCATACAGAACGTAGTTTTTTGACTCATCCAATCTTTTTATTTTCCTTGTTTGCTTGTATTATAGCGCTTGATTCATTCTCTTTCGTTCCAAATTCATGATACTTTAGGTCCGTCCATTTTAAACTAATAATCTAGTCGAATTCCAAAATTTGTAATTTGTTGTTATTGAACAATGTCAATATTGTACGTACACGAAACTAAATAAAGACAAGGCTGATTTAAAACACGACTTTTTGATAAAAACACATTTATTAAAAAGCATTAAAAAATATCAAATCTAGAATTTTCCACAAACTTCAACAAATGCATAAAACCTACTAGTTCAAATCAAGCGAAAGCATCAAAGCTGGAGACGAAACGCCCCCCCAAACCTAAAGACGACCATTTTATGCCGACAAAATAACGCCTTCTGAGACGAAAACTGAAGCTCCGAAGCGACGTTCACGAGTTCCCTATTATTGCCAACGTTAAAGGCGTCAAGCTAATTAAACAATCAGCAAAACTCAAAAACTTTACAAAAAATATAGAAACGTACAAAATTAAACTCTCGAAACAATTTGGAATGAAACGCCGACACGTCTCACCACTATTCAAACAATAAGATGCTTATAGTACGCCTCCCCACACACTGAACCATTAACACACCCATTTTACAAAACAATATATAAGTTTACGGACGTTATTTCGCCAATTTGCATAAAACCCCCGCTTCAAGTCTGGCAGCGGTGCTCCGCCTGAAACAATTTGTACTTCAGTTGAGCAATAAAAACACGTTACTTGGCAACTTCGGGGGGACAGTCGGGCTGGTTGCTGGGGTGCGCCGCCCTGAAAGCCGGGTGGTTCTCCAGTTCCCTGTCGATCCTCAAAATTATCGGGAAAGGTCTCAGATCGACATGAAACCTCCTCGCGTTGAAAACTTGCGGAATCAAGCAACAGTCCGCCAGCGTGATCTCGTCGCCGACGCAGTACTTGCCGGCGCTGGCCGACAGCAACTTCTCCACGGCCCTGAAGCCCCGGTTGATCCAGTGCTGCGCCCACTCGTTTTTCTTTTCCTCGCCGACGTGGATGAGCACCACCAGGTTCTGCAGCGGCTGGATTCCGGAGGCGATGATCTCGCAAATTTCGCGCACCTAGAGGGGAAAATGCGCTTTTTACACGGTGATGTTTTTTGTTATTCCACTAGATAAGCCATCAAAGACTGTTAGTTAATTTTATGTAAGATGCGTTTTTTGTTACTTAGCTGCAATAAATTAGTTTTTATTAAAACTGTTTACACGTTGTATCATTGCAACACGTTACCCTTCAGTTCAAGGCAAGTCCGTAATGAGAAAGTATAACAAGAAGTACGATGATCTTTGACCATAAATAAATAAGATAAAAAAAAAATATGACAGGCAAAAATAACGTACATTCCTGAGCTCGAGAAGACAGCGTAGCTTCTCTTGTCACTTTTATTAGGCGTTATGGCCTTCACGACTTGTCAAAACCGCAATTCCACCGACGAAATTTAAAGAATTCGCGCCAGGCAGGGCCACATCTTTTGACCTTCAGCTTCCATGTTAATCACATTTTAATGAGACACTTATGTGATAATGAGCAAAATTTCCATCAAGTGTGGGTTACCTTTGCCCTCTTTACCACGTCTGGCGGCAGCAGCGGCCTCTGGACCCTCGTCTCCTCCAAGTAGCTCAAGATACTCAACGACTCCACCAGGGTGACTCCGTCGATGTGTAACGCCGGCACTTGTTCCATGGGGTTAATCTCTCGAAACTCATTCGAGTGCTGTTCACCGCCAGCTTTGATAAGTGAAACGGGCCGAATATCGTACGGGATTTCTTTCAAGTTCAGGGCTGAAAGGGCACTTTTAGCGGGTCGGGGGCACAATGGGGGCCGCACTCACCTATCCGCACCCTCCACGAGCACGAACTGCGCCAATATGAATACAAAATAGGCTAGAAAGATTTTTACAACAATCACTGGGTTGTTTTCGTGGCGACTCGATTTTGGGGTTAGAGTCAAGGGGGTGGTTTTGGTACGTACCTTGCCAGTCACGGACATTTCGTTGGTTAGTTTAATTTCGTTGCGAATTCATAAATGAATCGATCGTTTCGTGCGAGCGGAGCTCGAAAACTGAAACTGCGACAGTATTTAGCAGCTACAGCACCCCTACGACGAGTTGATTGTGAGCGGAGCTGGTTTATTTGCAAACTGGTTCTTTAGAATTTAGCCCTCGCTTTTAACTGGTTTTTGCACGCGTTATTTAACGAATTCAAATGATTGAGAATGGAAAATGCGTGATAAACAAGATGAATCGGCAGTAATTCGCAGCTGCAAGAATAACAAATTCGTATCGATCGACGCCATTTTTTTATCAAGACTTAACAACAAGACACGTGGGACCGAAAAAATTTCGGCTCGAGGCTGCGATGGAAACAAGCGGAGCGCCGGTTTGTCAGTTTCCAACTTATAGGGCGAGGTCGTTGCTCTTTTTTCCAAAATCTGCGTGAATTTTGAAGCGTTTCAGCGCATGCGCAGTTTTCGGGATAGAAACTTCAAGATTTATTAAAGTCGATCCAAAATTTATATTTATTTGTGGTATGATTCGAAAAAATTCAAGTGAAAGTGAAATTTATCATATGAAAGAAATGATATTTTTGTATATGCAACCAACAATATAAAGTCGCGATCTTTTCTATAGAACCACTCCCTAGTGTAAATTTTCAAAATTTGTTTGGTGTAAGTGACCTTGACGGGTTTCTGGGGGAAAACATATGTGTCAAAAATTTGACAGGTTAGATGGGCCCATTGTCAATGTGGATATTTTATTTTAATAAATAGATGAACAGAACATACAGTCTGCACGGGATACAGTGCGGCATAGCTGAGGGCAACCGAAGTTGTGCAAGGTTAGTTAATAGAGAACAGGTTACCACATAAACGAGTATGTGGGCAAAATCGCTTACGGGGGAGGAGAGGTGTCAGCCCCATGTGACGTCAAAATGAGGTTGGTATTACTTGGGAATTTTTAGTAACTTGTAATTTTGAGTTGGTGTGACCGATCAGCTGATGCCTTTAATCTGTACGGTCTGTACCGCTAATTCTGACGTTTGGTGTTAGTAGTTACTCGGATGACCAATTTGTTAAAAAATATGGTGGAGCTCCCAGAAGAAATCACAAGGGCTTTTTTAAAACAGAGAACTTTAATTAGAATTAAATATTTAAATAATAAATCTGAAAATAAACAAAAGTATAAAAAATTTTAAAAATTAGCTAAAACTGTTTGATGTATGTAAATAAAAATTATAAAATTTTATGTATTTTTACTTACCAGTAGTGTTAATGTTTAGTTGTAATATTTTCACAAGTTTAATATTACAGTGAATTAAAGTGGTGTTTGCCTAACAAAAAAAAAAAAAAAATTATTTGTGTTTAAGCTAAAATGAAATGTTTTTATATATTCTAGAAAGGAAAAAGTAAACCAGTAAATGCAGATTTTCAGATTTTTTTTGCATAAAAAAATCAGTTAATAGTGTCGCATTTGTTATTTTCAAGTTCTACTGGCAGCAAAACATTTTTCTTGAGGTTTATTAAATTGTTCTTTACACAGGATTGAAATTTGCGAAGTAGAACCGGTCACTTGATTAAAAGTTTCCGTTTTTAGTGCGTTACTCGAGTATTTAAAACTGGCAATTTTCGCGCCATTTGAGAGCCCCTTGTGACGTATCAATATAGCATCCCAATGTGGCAACCTTATCTATTAAATGACTTTGCGTGTTGTGCTAGTTTCGATTGCCATATCAACTACCGCTACCAACCGCGTTCGGCGTAAAGTACTAGATGACAGGGCTACCAACTTGACTTTTTATCGAGCGAGTGGTTCCGTAGAAATGACCGCTACTGTATAAGGAATTCACGTTCGGTAGATGTAACTAGATTTGGTAACTTTTTTTTTTAAGCTGTGTAACTGCGGACATAATTGTTCTAGTGTATAATGTATAACTGGAATGTCAGAAAGTAGGTATCAAAAATGTGACATGTAAGTAAGTAAATGTCAAACATCGAAAATGTGATGGTTTTCTGGTGATCTGCTGAATCTATTTTTGAATCCAGGAGAAAATTGCATCCCTCTAAAAGCCCAAAGAGCAACCCGCATGTAAAATTGTGAATCTTTTCCATTCACTAGTTATTTTAGGAGGACAAGCTTTGATATCATCATCATGGATCCACAATTTTACCATGGATCCGTTTTGGTATATCCATGTCTCATCCAAGAAAATGAAAAGTAAATCTTCACCACTATCACGCAATTAGAGATACCGCTTTAGAAATTTGATTCTGGTAGCTATTTAATGTGAAAAACTTCGCCTTCGGAAACCTAAATTTATACGTGTATTACGTACAATTATTCTCCAAGCCGAGTATTTTCCCTTTTACAAAACAATAACGATTATATAAAACTTAAAAACCAATTGTAGAACGGACCCAAGAAAGCATGTAAGTATATAAATCTGGGCAGTCGTCTTTCTGATTCTGAGTATAATATTAACGGCGCCGACGCCGTTGTATCGGCATAATTTTAAAATTCGAAAAACACTCGAGAACACTAGCGAACTTTACGGAAAATATTTCTGCCACCAGTTTAACTGTTTCCGTTTTACCCAAGCATTGTCTATTTTTCCCAGTAATTTTTTCAAAACCACGAAATATTTCTTGCTTCTTTTCCTTTAAAATGGGCTTTCTCGTGACTACTTTTGTGGAAATTGTTTCCACGCTGTATTTAAGAATTTTCTTCAAACGAAGCGTGTTGAAATTAGAAAACTTCGTTTTTTTCCAGACAATTCAGATTTGACATTTGAATTAGAAAATTAGACAGTTGATGCCAATCTTTAATTTCTAGTGATCTTAAGATTGCAACTTAACCACAGAAAAATTTCTGTCAGTTACTTCTACCGAACGTGAATGCTTATTAGATGAACGTATTTATTTTACATTGAGATTCTTTAGGTCTTTAGGTGGCTGCTACAGACAAAAAAGAAAGAAGGTAAGGATTAAGACTTCACTTATTAAGTAACCAGTAATACAGTGACTGTATGTTTATTTATGAATGAATTAATGACTACAATTTCATCCACTTAACATTCATTACTGATTAATAGGACAAGTTTCCAAGTCTGTGGGAAGTACAATTTTCAAAATTACTGAATCGTCGTTTCGTCCTACGATTTACTATACTAAATTAACACTTACTGTCTTACCAGAGAACATAGAGAAGCGACATAGAGGCTGATTTTGCAAAACCACCCTTATTGACACTGGAGTCCTCAACTGCCAAAGGCAAGCGCCAAATTTAAATAGTCGACGCCCAAAAAAAACTTGTTTCACTATAATTGTAATTCGTGTGACCCGAATGAAAGTCAAGGAAACAGTAAGCAGCTTGTAATATTCTGGTAAATTTAGTGTCAATTTGTCGGAAATAAAACGCGTTATTAAAAATATTATGACATTTCTTCTAGTTACTTTTATCCCTAGTTAGAAACAAACACTGCTACCAACATAAATTGAGGAGTCCGCAACCGTCATTTAATTTAAACTATGGCGCTTCTCTATGTTCTCTGGTCTTACTGACAAGCAGGGTTTGTAAGTAGTTAATGAAGTGTTATTATACCGTAATATTACACGTAGTTTTTAACTATTTTTTACGTCATTAATTAACAATTATCTACATAATTAATTACACCAATTTTTACGTTGAGTAAATTTATTCTTTTTTATGAAATAAGTGCTAGACCAGCAGACCAGCACTGCTGAATGCTGATAGCATACTCTTTAGTCTTTACTCAGTGATCACATTATTACAGAACAGAACTTATTTCCAAAATGAAAGGGGCCAAAAGTACATATATACCAATAATATTTTCATAATTTATTGAAGAAAACAACAAAATACATTATTATTATTCTAATTAAATCGTGAATGGTATAAAACAGACCTATGAGCGAGGAGCCTTTGTTTCGACGTATTTTTCAAAATTTTATTACAAATATTACAAACAGCAGCAACTTTACAAAAAAAACTGTTAATTTTTATTGTAGTAAATTCCCCTACTGACCAAAAGTTGTGGTATTTTCTACCCGGCATCTTTCTTATTCTCACCACACAACTCACAAACCGTTTCCAAAACTTAAGTTTGCTGACTTTACAGTTGGAGGTTAGAAAATTTGACATTTGTATCTTGATATACGTATAAGTAAAAACTACATATTAACGACATAAAAAACTACACGTAACGTAATTAATGTAGTTAATGTTTTTTACATGTAGTTTTACAAACCCTGCTGACAAGTTTCAAAGATACCTCTGACCTGATATTTTTCAAAATCGCACCTGTTTTGTAGAAACTAAAAAATAAACCTAATAACAATTTCTTCCGGCCAAAAACCATTGATTCTCCACTCAAAACCCCGAGCATGGGCCCAATGAACCCAAAAAGTCCAAAAATTTTGGAAAAAGGCCACCGCTCTCGCCCTAACCTCACTTTCCGCGCGACTTCCAATCGCAATTTCCGTGCAAATTAACATCTGCCACGTCAAAACCCCCATTCTTCCACCGATTTCACCCAGCAACCTTAATCTTACCATCTGTTTCAACACCTTTTGGGCCATTTTTGTCCCCAGCAACAACAATCACGTCACCTTTGACCACACGTCAAACCACCAAAACAAAACACACGTTATCAGTGTGTTAAAAATGGAGAAAAGGTTGGCCGATTATCGGGCGAAGAAAGCCCGCGAGGCAAAATTAGACGAAATGAAAGCCAAAACGAAGACTTTCTTCACGGGTTTGTGGCGGAGCCGCCAAAAAGCAAGCGTAAGTCGGTTGTTTTTAAACAGTTGATAGTTTGGCTTTTGTGTTGTCAGCCTGAAGAGGAGGCGCTGGCGCCCCCCGAAGAAGTCGAGGATGTGGCCGAGTTGGTTGAGGACGCCTCCAGTGTGTGCAGTGACGACGAAAACGTTAGGTGTTGTTCGGTGGTCGATTTGTTGTATTACTTGTTGTGGGTGGTTTTATGGGCGATTTTGTACTGGATTTTTATAGAGTTGCAGTTCGGTACTGTTTTTCTTATTTCGTCGGGGATCGTGTTTATGTTTGTGAATACCAGAACTAGTCCAAAACGGACAGGAGAGGTCAGTGCTTACTCTGTATTTAATAAAAACTGTGAGAGTATCGATGGTACGTTGAAAGCGGAGCAGTTTGAGAGGGAAATACGGTATGGGCATACGGCGGTAAAGTAGTTTATTCCTGACATATAATTGACTTAGACTTAGTAAAACATTATATTCAAACATTTAAACATGCAGTATTATGTAGTAAAATTAGAGTATAATAACATGGAATTGTGAGACTAGACTTACGAAAATATAACATTATTTAATTATCACAGTTTGGATACAAGTAAAATAAAAAATGGATGGGTTCTAGCTATTTCCAGTCTAGGTGCTTTGGAAACTATTGTACGTCGTAGGCACGCCGATGACTTAAAACCTAAAAAAGTGGACGAACATCACTAAAAGCAAGATTATAATTCTGTTTGAGGTTGGAATGTATCTCTCCGCGGCAGCAAGATAATAACCCCTACTGCCATGAGAACATGCCACAGACTATGTAAATACTTGTAGTTAGCTTCAGTTTCCAAAAATACGAATATGATCAATCCTACACAAACAACTACCAACCCTAGAGGTATCCATACCCTCAAATACCGTTTACTCAAAAACAACTGTCTTACTTTCCTCCATTTCAAGTACCAATTGACCACGATTATAAACAACCCTGATGCCACAGGCAGAATGAACCCCCAAATCCCCGTTTTGTTTATAGTCGTGGTAAAAGCTAGAATTATGGCACCGGTTATATGACACATGGTCGGCCAGTACGACGGCAAGTCAGCTATAGCGATCAAAGTGACCCAGATGGCCAGAAGGGCGCAGTAGAAATCGGCGAACTGAAGCGCCCCCAGACGGGTTATACAAAAACTGATTATATTTTCACCGGCGTCACAGGCATGGTAAAACGTAGAGAAAAAACAAATGGCGAAATAAACAATAGCTTCTACATGGTACTCGCGTCGGTAGGCTACGTATACAGTGGGAAGGAACATCAAGTTGCTGAAGACCAACAAAAGAAGTTCGATCACGAGCATGTAGTAGGGGGTCGCGTCGCCGTCGTCGCTGCAATCCCAACCTAAAAACAAGTTTTCTTCACAGTTAAACGATTCCTTTTTCTATATAACAGTTGGTTTACTTACAGTGCGTTGTGCTGATACTAACCTATGTTACTATGGCGTTCCTTACCTTTGTAGTTGTGCGAACAAACGCACGTGGCATATACCACCCCATCGCACACCATGAACATGCATCTCCCGTGTTTGCCACAATTGTTGGCACAGGCTGTAGACGATATATCGAAGACAACGCTCGAATTACAAACTTCTTTGTTTCGAAGACAGGGTCCGTCGCAGTCGCATTTCGCACAACCATTGGAATGTACCACTTCAGTCTTGCAATCTAATGAGCAGTTATTACAGGTGTCTTTGGTCTGACACGTCGCCTGACAATCTTTGACACAAGCCTCGAAAATTTTCTGACAGTTGTCTGGACAACTGCAAGGGACGCACTCCCCGCAGAACAACTTAAACGTGGCATACCACACCCCCGACTCAGGGTAGGGAATCATCATAGAGCTGTTATCCGTAGCTTTACTCACAACCAAAGGCGCCACGATTTGGTCGCCGCCGTAGCTGCAATGGTTCGGCCATGTGGGTAATTCTGGCGCCTCCGGTCGTATACAAGCGATGATTTTATTGTCTTTGGGCTCGCTCTCCAACGACCGCCCCTTGACCCTCGGTTTGAAAGCCAAAACGAACTGGAGAGTGCCCCCGATGTCGGCGTGCTCTCGCAGCTTGAACTGCAACACCGTGAACTCGCTACTGGTCAAATTCACAGCCACGCTGGACGAAATCGTGAACTTTTGTCTCAGTTCGTACGAGTACGAGAAGCTCTCAGTCGTAGACTCCCTAACTAAATCGTATTGTCTGTACTTCAGAACTCTGGTGATCTCGTTACTATTGAAAACCCGCCAAGCCGTCGCGTTCGTGGTCCTCTCAGAATCCTCGGCGAAATATTTCAGAATAAAACTCAGACTAGATTTGCTCTCGGTAGGATTGGCTTGCCCCTCGAACAGAAACTCCACGTAGTGCCAGTTCTCCTCCTGCGTGTTGAACGTAACCGTAAGGGATTTTTCTTTCGAGTTGGGTTCGATCATCTCGGCTTTGATGGCGGTCTCCTCCGACGGGATGCTTCTAGATTGGACTCTAACAGTCAGTCGGGTCGCGGTTTTGGCAAAAGTTATATTCTCAACGAGGAAGGAAGCGTGGATGACAAATTGGGGAACGTAAAACGTGTAAAGGGAGCTGTGGGAGGTGTAAGCCTCGATGGTGTAGGGGACGCCCTCCACGATTTGACCCGCGCTAGGGCGCCGCTTTACGTACAGGGTGGTCTCCACGAAAGAATAGCACTCAGGGGTCAGTTCTGAAATTTACTCAAACTAATTGTTTTACTAATTACACGAGAAAAAGCGTTACGAACCTGGCGGCTGAATGGATTCGTGCTTGGGATCGTCGTACGGCAAAAACGCACTTATAAAATAACACCCAGGATCAGGGGACGTCAAATTTAAATACTTCACGCTCTTGTCGCTCCTCAACTCTAAATAGTAATATTGAGATCGGCTAATATTCTTAAAACTATCAGGAAACCTCGACCCGTCCGGATTAATAACCGGAAGAGACTTGTGTTTCATGTACATCAATACTTTCCGAGGACTACAACCTACGGGACAGTTATGACTCAAAATTCGCGACTATAAGACACCCAACTTACTAAACATCGACATTTGGGCTTCTTCAGCGGTGAATTTCAGTGACGCGAAAGACACCTCCGACGGGATTTCCACGTGCATGACGACGACGTCCACGTAGCCCCCATACTTCTGCAGGTACGAAGTGCGGGTCTTGGAGACGATTTCCAAAGTATCGTCTTCGTGGCAGTAAATCGTTGGGATGAGGATGATTAAAAATATCCATCTCATTATAGTGAATGGATGGGGCTGAATGACAGGAAATACTTATGAGATCATCCCACTCGTCTTATCAACCGACGCACTCCACACAATTATCCCTGATAAGAGGGAACTTATTTTGAACTTAAGCTCGAGGTTAAAACCGCGGATTCCATTGGTTATTTCGAATTTTTAATGATTTATTTGTTTATTTATCGCGATAAACAGATAAAAATTACTGAGTGAGGTTAGGATCGTGATGGGTGTCAGACTTGTCACTGGAAACTGGAGAATTATTATTATAGTATCGTGGCGCGCAGCGGCACTCGAGGTGGGTAGGGTCGCATGGGGAAATTTGACTGCGACGGAGCGTCTTCAATGGTCGATATTCCGGTTTTGACCTAATATTCATATCTTATCTGTGCGCATTAAAACTTAAGTCAATTAGGGGCGAATTAAATTTTAATTGTAAATGTGGAAATAACTGAAAAACATTACTTGTAAAGTGTGTTGTAAATGTGTGTTAATGTATGTATGGATTTATTTTTTTTATAAAAATTTACAGTCTAGGCAATATCATGAATCAGAATTCCCAAGTGTCCAACCATTTTAGGCCATACATGGTCGAGTTGGGTTCGTTGGCGTTGGGGCCGCTCATTCCGTACGTAAGCGGCGAAAATAAATAAAAACTGTAGACCACGGTGGATAGCACGAGCGCCACCAGAGTGTGGTAAACAACATTACCGAATTTTTCCCCAAAGAACTTCGGTATTTCTTCCAACAAATAATCGATGATAATACCTGTGAAAACAAAATTAATAACTATCTTATCAAAAAAGTCATATATTTAAAAACAGTGTAAACAGATATATTATGACATTTGGGGTTAAAGGGGTTTTGCGCGTGACGTCATGATGATGTTACAGCTAATATCCGAAATACGTTATTATGCATAATAACTAGATATTTTAGGAATTATGCGTAATAACTAAACTTGTCAGTTATTATGCATAATAACCGGAAACATTAGGAATTATGCGTAATAACTGAATTTTTCAGTTATTATGCACAATAACGAAACGTTTAGGTAATATTGATAATAACTAACAGAGGAACAGGAATTATGCATAATACCTGTAACATTAGTCATTATGCATATTGCCTAATAGACCAGGGCCGATAATTTTTGAGAACAAAAAAAATTAGAATAGGATGATACCCATTGGAAAAGGAAGAAAATATAACAAAAATAAAAGGAAAAATAATTTACGGCCGATCTGAGGTCGGGAAGTGGAAGAGGGTGAGCTTTTAAGGGTAGAAAACGGTTTATCACGATTTCTGGCAAAACTACAAGTCCTATCGAAAAAAGTTAAATAGCAAAGTTCTAGGTAATAAAAGGATCTACAACTTTTGTATTTAGACTTTTTTTACATAACCTCAACATTTATGCGAAAAATACAAATAACCGAGTTTTTGATTTTTTATTTTTATCTCCCACAAGAAAGTTTTTTTTTTACGAAATTTGGTGAAAACTTACCTACTTATGTTTCAAACTGCCTGTAATTTTTTTGATTCAAAATATTTATTTTCCCCCTTTATTTTGATTTAATATCGAAAAACCACTCTAATTTTCAATGGAAAATTCTCACGTCAAAATGTTTGCTTTTTTAAAAAATCGGTGTGCTTTTTGTTCGCTGAAATCTCTACTTTCTGGAGGTGTAAAAAAAATTATACATTACGATGGCAAATTTTCACAGGAAATGCAAAAAAAACCAAAAAACTCGAATTTAAAAATTTGTTTTTTAATTATTATGTAAAATTTGGAGCTATTTATTAAAATCTACACGTGAATTACTCGAAAAACGTAATATTCCATGTTACATTGATAAATTAAAAAATTGCAAATCGAAATATACTACTATAATTAACAACCAAATAAGTTAATACAATTAATACTTTATAAGACATCTACAATATTTTGTTAAAGTTGTAGGATAATTTTTAAATTATATGCATAGACGCCTATTTATTGCTATTTTAAGATAACTTACATACCTGAACGGCCTACGGAAAATTTTAGCCCATCAGAAGAATGAACAACATCGTCTATAAATATACACGTGCAGGCTTACTTGAAGAGAATTGTGAGGAATTTACTTATTTAAAAGAAACTTTTGGAATCTACAGTCACAAGAATTTTCCTGTAAACAAGCGGAAGAAGATGCTGATGCTGACATAATTAAGATCTCGATAGAAACTGCCAGAGATACTAATAAAACTGTCATAGTTGTGGATCAAGATATTTTGGTCCTTTTGAATCAATTGAATTCAAATAATTATGACATTTATTTTCTCAAACCAGGTTCTGGAAGTGTAAAAGATCTATTTTTCACGTCCAATAGTTTCAAATATGAATCTTTCAAAAATATCGTTGCATTTCTGTATTGTTTTTCTGATTGCGATACAACATCTGGGTTTGCCGGAAAAGGAAAGAAAAACATCGTAAATTCATTGTCTTCTAATATAAAAATTCTCGTGTCACAGTGTGTGTAACCAAACTCCTCCGAAACAGTTTGACTGATTTTTATGAAATTTTCTGTCTATATTCGGTAGGTCTGAGAATAGGTCGTAAATTATTTTTTTATACTACTAGGTGATAAGGGTGGCCCACACATTTTTTTTTTTTATTTTTCGGACAAAATTTGTTATTTTTATTTTTTTAAGATTTGGTTTCAAAAAATATATATAACCCTAAATTTTCACTCTTCTACCACCAATCCCCATTTTGTAGTAACGATATTAGTATCTTTAACAATATTGAAAATTAGGGTGGTTTTTCGATATTAAATCAAAATAAGGAAAAAAATAAATATTTTGAATCAAAAAAATTAGTGAGTTTGGCACATAAATTGGTAAGTTTTCATCAAATTTCGTTAAATTTTTTTTTTGTGGGAGACAAATATAAAAAACCAAAAACTCGGTTATTTGCATTTTTCGCATAAATTTTGAGGTTATGTAAAGAAAGTGTAAACACAAAAGTTGTAGATCTTTTTATTACCTACAACTTTGCCATGTAACTTTTTGCTATAGGACCTGTAGTTTTGCCGGAAATCGTGATAAACCGTTTTCTACCCTTAAAAGCTCACCCTCTTCCCCTTCCGGACCTCAGATCGCCCGTAAATTATTTTTCCCTTTATTTTTTTTATATTTTCTTCCTTTTCCAATGGGTATAATCCTGTTCTCATTTTTTTTCACTTTTTATCATTTTCAAACGCTTCGGCACTGGCCTATAACATGTCCAGCTGATTTCAAAAAAAACGGGACAAGATGAGCAATTCAGGTTCTCATAGATCAATGAAAAGCAATGGGAATATGACGTTTATATAACTGTAATTTGTCCTTTTTTTTAAATCAACTGTACATGTGATATGTAGAGGAAAGCGAGGCAGGGTGGGTAGCTTTGTGGAAAATATTATGCAAAATTCCTGTTCCTCTGTTAGTTATTATCAATATTACCTAAACGTTTCCGTTATTATGCATAATAACTGAAAATTTCAGTTATTACGCATAATTCCTAAAATGTCTAGTTATTATGCATAATAACGGATTTCGGATATTAGCTGTAACAATGACATTCGGGATTAAGGTATCAACTCACCTGTAATCATGGAGTTAAACAGCAGCGCGGGAAAATAATGATGGAAATACAAAACCCGGCCCATCGCCCAAAACGGCACATAATGCAAAAGCCACCCTAAAAACAACCACGCACAAGCCACCAACTTGTCCTTATTGGCTTCAGAAAACGACTTAATGTACCCCCGCTGCTGCCGAATCGCGTTACACGCAAAAATTACCACGAAAACAAAAAGAAAACCCAAGTTACTCCACCAAATCACTGGATTCCCGAGAAGGTAAACCCGGTAACTGGACCCCGAGAAGAACTGTCCCTGCAACAACAAATAAGTTAGTATAGTGGGGGTAAGTAGCATCGCCTCTACCCGATAATTGATTGGCCACTGCCACGGCCGCGACGTTATCTCCCCCTCCTTAGGTTTAAGACCCGCATTCCCTTGAAACATCACAGCGTGCGACTCCAGAAACCGTTCCAAGAAACTGGGAGCGTAAACTTCAAAACTGACATTAGGTACTAAAAGCAAACACTGTAATTAAGAAAAGAGCTTCTCGTAGGGTTACATTTTTCGAAGACGTTCTCTTCCACGTTCCACACTCCATTAGGATCTCTGAGATTCGGATTACAGGAAACTTCCTGTTGTTCGTAGGCCCATTTGGGTAACTGCTTGCCGCTGGTCGTCAAAACGCACGATTGCAAGTAATGCACGAATTTGAGTTTGCTGCTTACGGCGGTGACTTCGGTGCCGTCTCTGGCGCCTACCACACTTACTCTCCACACGTCGTTGGCATCTCCGGTGCCGTTTTCCCCGTATCCTGTCACTTGGAAGTGCTTTTTTGTAATCGGAGCTTGTTCTTTGTGCGAGTGGAGGTTGCGCTTTGTTGGTACGTGTTCTAGTCGGACGAGGTCGCCACTGCGGACCACCACGATACCGCTGGTGTCTTCGGTGTTGTATTTTTTGATCAGCCATTTGTTGTTGTCGTCTTTGTGGGTGTAAGTGGTGATCTGAAATGAAAGAATGTCTGTTCCATTCACATTCCTGTTAAAACTTACTTGTTGCTGCCTGGCGCCCACATTTTCTGGGTACAAATGGTAATGGGAGTGGAGGTACCCGCCTCCAGTCCGGTGGTTCTTCAAGGTGATTAGCGCCCCGTACGCCACCTGCCGAGGCATACTGGCATTGTGCAGACTATTCCCAATGAGTTGAGACTGAAAAGCCGAGCTATAGAACCCATCTCCATTTCCGCTGCGGTTTAAAACCGCCAGATGGATGTAGAAGAACGTGATATAAAGGATCACCGGCCACATTATAAGACAAATTCCTCTTGCTACTAAATGCTTAACAGTGGCCGTCTAACCAAAAAAAAAAAAAAAATCAATTGGTAACTCTTTATTAACAATCAAGATTTTAAGATACAAGCGGAATGATAGCTTTAGTGTCATTTTTGTCCTTATTCTTCTTGAACACAGTCCCCAAGACTATACCACAAAACAGTATAAGCCCGACTTGCGCATTCGAAATAAATTTGTTCGAACAATCACTGGCGTTATCAATATCGAGCGTGGTCAATTGAGACACTAGATGCGTCCCCACTAGCGCCACAGAAGCGTAGTACGGCCATGCCATTTCATTCAAAATCCCTGAAGCCACAACTCCCCCCATCATCACAGCACTGAATCCACTCAGCCACAACTTCGTATCTCTATCGAACTTAAGCGCCGTCGACTTAATCCCCAACCTAGAGTCATCATCTCTGTCCTGATGCGCATAAATGGTGTCATAAATAATCGTCCAACAAACTGCAGCTACATACAACGGCAAGCAAATCGGCAAATCCACGTATCCCTTGATGGCGCTATGCCCTAAAAGAACCCCCCAATTAAACGTCAGCCCCAACACGAACTGCGGCCAATAAGTAAACCGTTTCATAAGGGGGTACGTGATGACTAGACCCAAGGAACTCGCTCCAAGGAAAACACTGTACCAATTCAACTGCAACAACACACCTAAACCTAGACTCAATTGACCGGCTAGGAACACCCAAGCGGCTTTCATGGAAACGTCACCACTCACTAACGGTCGGTCTTTAGTTCGAGCCACTTTCGAGTCAATATCGCGGTCCCACATGTCGTTAATCGTGCACCCCGCTCCTCTCATAATCACAGCTCCAGTCCCAAACAAAGCCAGCATGTAGGGGTCAGGAAAGCAACCGGCGGGGGCCGCTGAGGCTATGCCCCATCCGCAAGGCCAGAACAACAACCATGTGCCAATAGGTCTATCAAGTCTCATTAGCTTCAAGTAGGGCTGCACGGACGTGGGGGCCCCGGCGACGAGTCTAGCAGCGAGTTTTTCATTTTTCTTGTCCGAGGTGGTGGTTGGTGTGTAGAGGCAGCGGGTGTTTTGACGCAGAAGTGAGAAAATTGGGGGATGCAGAAACCTAACCTTACTTTTTGGTGTGTGTAATGAAATCACTTTTAGGAGTTTGTTTGTCGCTTTTATCGCAAACATCGTGTGTCGGGATGCGTTATTAACGTTAATGAGACTTCATGAGTGACGACTTAAGTTGTTTTCATGTTGTTCGGTGGGTTTGAAGAACATAACCTTTACAATCATTGGCAAATGTCAAGGACGTAACCTCAAATTATCATAAAATTTTAGCTGATTAAAAACGCACCCATAATTTGATGAATGCATCGAGGAAATGACACTCAAAGCCCCACTTGTACCTACACTCTATTTAATTTTGTAACGACTTACCACTGGTCGTGTCATGTCACCAAGAATTTTCCACAAGTCCGCTGTAGTCATGAGACCCACTAGTGATACCACAAAAAGCCCTACGAATTTCACAGAAACACAACACGCTAACATTGTGCCTGTGAAGATTAGCCACAGCCACCATGACACGGAGAACTCTTGGATTCGACGCGATGATACTTTTACAGCTCCCAGGATTGAGCCCATTATGAAACATAATAAAATGGGGTCCAACAATATGTACTGAGTTAACGTTAAAATCCCCACATCTAAAATTTGTAGTTGTAATGCACAAAAAAAAAAAAAATTGTTAATTCCTACCAAATAAAATTAATAAAGCGGCAAAAGTGGCCGCTGTGATTGACTGTGTGGTCTCTTCAACAATTAGGAACGCCATGGGGATCAGGGTGGCCCCCAAAGCGGTACAAAACTGGATAAAGAATGGTTAACGTCGTGAACGTTCTACGAATATGATACTTACCACTCTCATTCCTAAGTAGCTGGTGTTGTCATACTTATCACCTGGTTTATCAAAAGCAAACGTCCCATCATAGCCCGTCAAGTACCCAGAAAGCCCTATTAACATCTACAGATATTATTAGTACACGTTTTTCTAAAAAGTACGCACCTTGCCCAGGGGTGGATGTACATCAAAGAAGAACGTCCTATTAATGTACCAGCTCCCCATTTTTCCAAAATGAGTCTCATCCCAGCTGAAATTATCACTTTAATTGGTGTTTTTCACGTCAATTATAATACAAACCAAACATGATCGGGTTCTGCGATTTTATAAAACCTTGTGGTTAAAGTGAGGGCGCAAACTGCCCCAAAAATGAGCCACCAAGAACTAGAAAACATGCTTCAGTCAAACATTTTATTATGTATTATTTTTACCTCTTGTGTGAATTTGCTGCTTCTGGGGCCATTTCACCCATTCGTCATACGTGCATGTTGTAAACAAGTGGAATAACGGTACTTTTGGACAGTGGAGAAAGTTGCCAACAGGGCGTCAAGTTCACCTCCATTAACACCATTCATTTTTTTTATGTAAAAAGTTTTTAGTTTGTTTTTACGTCACCGGGTGGATACGTTAAATAATACAGTTAGGAGACGCAAAAAGGGTTGAAACGATGTTAAATTTATAAAAAGTGTAAATAAAAATATAACCTCACTCTTTGACAGATCAGGTGGGGAGATCCGCTTGAGCGTCTACTGACACAGAAACAATTAAGCGAAAATGATAAATTGCATTATAATTATTTTTGTTGTATAGACGCTCTTTTTTAAAAAAGAATGTAAAATGTAAAGCCGAAATTCTTGCCAAATTCATTAATCTGGTGATTTTTGTCTCCATACTTGTCGATTGGTATTAACATAATTTTGACACACGTTGCAAAAAAAAGCGAAAAAAATGTAATTTCTGTAATTATGACTAATTAAAGTAATTCAATGTTGTTTATTTCATCCAGTCGTAATGCGTTTACGTGACGCTATTTTCGTCGTAAAGCGTTTATCTTTTTTTCATGCTTCAAGTATTCTACCTGTCCCGTGCTGGTGTTTTTATTGTTGTTTTGTTTGTCAACAAACCGTCCCGTTCCGCGTGACCCCAACCCCTGACGTTCGCCCCTAGCGGCGTTAAAGGGTTGAAACTCGCTCCCCTCCCCCGATTTCTCCAAAAAAAATAAGTCAGTCGCCGAATTCACCTGCATTTTTACCTGTCTCGCCGCGCTCCGCTCGTCCGTTCGGCGCGTGCGCACACCATCACTATCAATATAAATCGCGTGGGACGCCATTTTGATATAGTGCTTTGTGTACGGCATCATCATTTTTCCCAAAATGAGAACTTTCGATACGCTAAAATAACAAAGTGAGAAGGGTGCGCACCACTTGCGAGGTGAGTAAAGCCAGCGCTGTCGTAAAAAAAATCCGTTTTTCGCCGCCGACTCGCCAGAATCGGCGATTCGAGAACGCTGCACTTTAAAAGCCGAAAAGTGTTTGTAAACAAGCATTACGCACTTTCGGGCGCCGTGCGGTGCGAGGTCATGGTGTGGGTGGTTGGGTTGCGATGGAATTTTTCGCGAGGGAAAGCGCGATTTTGGCCGTATTTTGATTTTTGACAAGGCGGGAACCCAGGACGCTGGGACCTAGGGGAAAGCCGCCTAAAGGCACGCCTACGTAAGGACGGGTTTCGCGCGGACGACGAAAGTGTCACCGCCACCTGAGGAAATTTTCGAAAGAATCGAAAGGCGGTGTGGTGGCGATTTTGGCGAAGCGGCGGTTGTGATTTGGTGGTTTGGAGGTGGGTTTTCGCGGGATTGAGATTGTTTACCATGTTGGATATTGTTCGCAGATCAGGTGTCGTTTATATGTCAATTAAACATGTTTGAACCGATCCTAAACATGTTTGGAATTTCGGAATAAAAGCCCAGGTTTTGGATTTCTAGCACCGGTGAGATTTAATAACAAAAATTTACATAACATTTTATTATTTTTCGTCTTGCGGAATACTAGGAAAAAGAATTTTGTGGTGGAGTGGATATGGGGAGATCATGTAGATGTGCCACTTCCTCTAAAAGGGAGCTGCACTATAATTGTGCCGCCTTTTGGAAAAACCGAGTGTGCAGTGGTGTTATCTAAAAATCCGGAATTTTCTATGTACCATTTCCTTGTACTAGGTGGCCCAGATTTTATTTCTTCAGGCAATAACTATCTAATGCTGTAAAATTCCAATTTAGTGACAAGTTATATAGTAAAAATATAGGGTAAAATTTGATATTTTTCAAGTGTAACACAGAACTAAACATTTTTGTATATTACTCGACGTGGCCTTAAGTTTGATTTTTATCTCTAATATCTCATCTGATAAGGGAGTTAATAATCTTTCATGTACTAAAAAAAATTCGAAATATTACTGGTAAGACCACACAGGAGATGGGGTTGTATATAAATCACTATTATATCTAAAATATTTTTCCTGTTCAAAATTAGGGTGTTTTAGGTGCCAACTACTCCAATTTATAATTTGTGTATAACTTCAATGTAATCGCTAACCTTTCACTTGCATTTGTTTAACTGTCTGTCAATTTTATTTTATTTTATTTTATTACGCGCTTGTGTTAAAAAAGCGCTACAATTAGTAATTTTACGTTTTTACTTCCCGAACGAAAGTAAGGAAGTATAATAATCGAGTTTATCAAGTGACTTCCCAGTTTCATGTTTTCTCGACGTTTCATGATCCCAAGAGTACGAAAAAGTGCTCTCCCGTTTCCGTCTTATATATTAGGACTAGTTATGTTGATGATGTCATTACATTTTTTTTTTCAAATTAAGAACGAGTTACCCCATTGAGGAAACACTAATTCAAATCAAACTAATTCCTACGGGACATTCTTTCGATGTATCAACATTTGAAATTAAGTTTGTTATTAGTGCTGAGAGGACAGTTTTTCCTGTTGGTTATCTGCTTTAAATATATTTTACATTGTCCATACTTGGGAGTGCGAATTCTTTTCACAGGGGCTGCGGGGGTGTTATTCGTGCCGCTAGTTTTTACTTTATAGAGGTTATCAAAATTTTATGATTGTTTAAAAAAGCGGGACTTTTAAGAATCGGAAAAAAGACGAAACACGATATATACAGGGTGGTGATTTTTTGTTTCCTGTTGCGTATGTTTCCAAAGAATCGATAGAGGAAAGTCAAGTTCGTGACTCTTTATATTCTGTATATTTAATAGATTTAGAGCTGGCTTATTGTAGGCGAATTAAATATTTAATTCAAATTAAAATTTAATGTGTGATTAACCCGTGAAACTATTGATCGGTTCAGTTTGATCACGTGTTAGATTAATTGCATAATTAAATTAGTGACGTGATTTAAGTCTTTCTGAAGATGGGGTTTTAGAATTGGAAAGAAATAAAGTTTTTCAAATTTATATCGCGGCCGTCGTTCATAAAAAATATGAAGTAATTTTTTTAAATGAAATTTATTTTGAATTTGAGTAGAAGAAACTAAAAATGAATAAAAATTTCAGTATGCACAAACTGAACGGGCATCAACAGGTAAACTGTCAGCAGCAACGTCAGTGTCAAAATGTTTTAGATCATAGTGTAACAAATGTTAAATTACAGGTTTGTGAGTCAATTTTTGTCGTTATGTCCAATGGTTAAATTAAAAAAAAAAACTGCATTGTATTTTATTTTCTACACGTGATTAAAAATACACCGAAACTGGAGTTGGCGGATCGTTACTGATAATTTCAGGCGCATACATGTATATGTTCTGCGTATAGCGATGAAGTTGGCCACGCTTCTATACACATATACATCCACATAGAAATCCGTACCTTGGTTTAAAGCCCCCTTTTTCTAGCCAAATAAATGGATTGGGAAAATGTGGCTTCGCAGTGAAAAACGGAAAAACATCCGCGCCATCTGCCTCACCCGCATCCGCAGAGTCCGCAAGAACAAACCCGGCAGCGCGAAACAAAAGAAGATCGACCCGCCACCCCTCTCCGACGAATGTAAAGAGAACTACCAGGCGCAGGTAGTTCCCGAGTTCGACAAGACCCCCCAGAGTCCCAACCTAGAGGTCGACCTGAAATGTTTCGAGTACTTTGAGGCGAACAACGCCGCCTCCTTCGAGAAAACACCAGAGCTAGTTCTAAACTCCGATCTTCCCAAAGAAATCGAATATTCCAACTTCAGCGCGGGCTTGACGATGGCGTGCGAGGAGACCCTCAACCACCCCGACTACGCCAGCAACATGCAGTTCCACGTGACCGAGAAGAAGGCCTGCGACAAGTACAGCTTCGACGTCTTCTCCGAGAAGATCTGCGAGACGATGTACTACGAGTACGGGGCGCTGCGGGACGAGTACCAGGACGTGCAGTTCGACGTCAACGACTTGAACAACGTCAACACCCAGGAGTTCACCAACATGCTGGACGAGGAGATGGCGCAAGGGAACATGCCGAACGTATACGACTACACCACTTTGTACCCGGTCACCATGCCAGACGGTGAGTCGCGCTACCCCCCATCGACTATTATAGTCATCGCTCGGTTGCAGGTCACATGATCTCAAACATCACGCCCGAATCCGAGGACCGCCTCGACAAGCAGCCGGAGCACGTGGAGGTGGAGGACACTTGGGAGGCGTTCGATCCGTACCTCTTCATCAAGCACCTGCCGCCTCTCACGTTCGATATGCGCTCCAAGTGCCCGGCGCTGCCTCTGAAGACGAGGTCCAGTCCCGAGTTCAGTTTGGTCTTGGATTTGGACGAGACCTTGGTCCATTGCAGCTTGCAGGAATTGTCGGACGCCAGTTTCCACTTTCCTGTTCTCTTCCAAGACTGTTCCTATACGGTTTATGTTCGCACGCGCCCGTACTTCCGCGAGTTCATGGAGAAGGTGTCCCAGATGTTCGAAGTGATCCTGTTCACGGCCTCGAAGCGGGTGTACGCCGACAAGTTGCTGAATCTCCTGGACCCGGAGAGAAAGTGGATCAAGTATAGGTTGTTCAGGGAGCACTGCGTCTGCGTCAACGGCAACTACATCAAGGATCTTTCGATTTTAGGCAGGGATTTGTCTAAGACCATCATTATCGATAATTCACCGCAAGCCTTTGGTTACCACGTAAGTAGAGGAAAAGGGGGTGAAGGAGGGTTTGATGTGGTGGGTTTTCAGCTAAATAATGGCATACCGATAGAGAGCTGGTTTGTGGACCGGACAGACTCCGAACTTATGAAGTTGTTACCATTTTTAGAAGACCTAGTGCAAATGGTGAGTATGACGATGGTTGTAAGTTTGTTATTATTTGTGTGTGTAGAAGGAGGACGTCCGACCACACATCCGTAACAAGTTCAAGTTGTTCAGCTACCTCCCTCCCGATTAATTGGCAGCTGCAGTCGCCTAGACAATCTCTAACTACATAATACTCTGTTTTTGTTTTCGTTAAGTCTAATTGCGTTGAAGTACTGACTGACGTCACTGTTGCTTTCTTCAAGTATAATGCAACTGAGGTGCCTTTCGGAACGTCTCTTGTAGAATAATTTATAAAACATCCTCGATTATGTTTCGTTGGTGATTAATTGTGCAATACATAATTGAAAGAACTATAGCTAGATGGTTCTATAAATACGCATGAAAACTAAAACAATGTACATATTATATTGTTGGTCAGTATTTTAAAAGAAATTTATTAAAATTAGAGAGTATAAAAAGTTGAATTCTTTTATTGTATCACTTTGTATATAGGGAACAAAAGTTTAGGAAAGTCTCTTGCCATTTAAGGAAAAACTATGACCATAGAATAGATGCAATATTATGCACAAGAGTATTTTGTTTGTTGTTTGTTATTATATTTTTTTTAATTGCGTATTATACGTACGGGGTTCGGTACGTTATGTTGTGAATATTTTCAGTTGTTTTCCTTTCCTTTGGCCGAATCCCCAAGTATTAAGTGTAAATGTTATACGTTTCATATTTTATTACGCGTAGCAGTAGAAACTCGTATAAGTTCTGCAGTACTTACGTGGGAAACGCCTTCAGGCACCGTTCCGACCAGCTAAACACCTCTCATCAGTTGTTGATAGAATAGTTACAAATTCTATAAAATTAATGCTTTTTTTATAATCTACTCATTATGCTATTACATGTTAATCTTTGTTTCCACTGTTATATTTAGTTATTTTTGTAAGTTTATTATCTAATAAATAAATATATCTCCATACACAAGTACAAAACTCATTTTAAAAAATCAACGCCCGTAGGGGTGAATCTGTGTGGCACTTTTAATGTTAGTCTTAATAGCTGAGGGCGCTTTGTTCATTGTCATGGCCTGCGTGTTGGGCGGCAGTGACCCTTGACCGGGCGTGCCCCCCGGCCTGCCCTGTGGCGCCACCATCATGCCCCCGGACGTCTGACTAGGTTGTCCGTTCGGGGCCGTCCCCATCTTCAATCCCTTACCCATACCCACCGCCGCTACCAGTAAATGCGTATCAGCGACGCTCGAATTCTGCTGCGTGCTCCCTCTAGCCGTCGACTCCACCTCCCATTCTTCCTTCGCCTTATTGACTAGCTCCCACACGTGCGACACCACCTTCTGATACGCGGTAATTTGCTTCTACAAACCCGAACATTCACAAAACCATAAATCAAAAAAAATAAATTAATAAACCTGTGCATTGTCATAAGTCAGCGTCGACGCTTTGTGCTCCAGCTGCATCATCTTGTTTTCGGCCATGGGCTCCAATTTCGTTCTCAGATAATCAGGGACTAGGTCGTGAGCGAAGGTAGTCACTCGGTGTTCAGTCAGCTGCGCTAATTGGTCGTCTCGTTCAGGGGAGAGCATCAGGGGTAGGACTGTGAGGCTGCGAAGCGCGGGGCACTTGTCATGGCTGAGCACCTTCGACAAGGAGGTGAGCTGGCCCGAGATTAGGGCGTAGTTGTCGAGGAAGGTGGGCCAGTTGAGGGTTTCGTATTCGTTCTCGACTTTAAAAATCATTGAGGCGATTGAGGACTTTAGGTCGTTCACGCGCTGCACTATCGATTCGAGGGACGATTCCAGTTGTTTTTCTTCGCGTTGCTGCATTTTTACAAATTAAATACTGTGTTTACGAAAATATAACCTCAAAAAGTCGACATTAATTTAGTGATAAATTTACAGGTACCTACAAGGAATGGAAATCCCCAAAATGAGACATGAGAGGCATAGAGAGGTAAAAGTCATCAAGGTTGGTAGAATTGAACAAACAATTTGAATTTGAATAAGGTAATTGTACCAAAAGCTGACACAATTAGAAATAGTGAGTGTTTAAATGAGGACAAAGCACTTAATATATTGACCCAGCATAAAAACGACGTGTGCTTACATTTTTATAAGCTTTAGAAAATAGGGTATACATATATTTATCTAAAAAAGTCTAAAATATTAATAAAAACTTAACATCAAGTTTAGTTTGCTAATGTCTCGAAAGCTGACACCCACCTACCGACAATGCGCCTAAAGCTGAATTCATATGTGCCTAATGCTGACATAGCACTTTTAATAAAAAAAAAAACAATTATTTCAATATGGTACTTTTTTAATAACTCAAAAAATACAAAACTTGCAAATAACTTGATGAAAATAATTTGGACTTAATCCATTAATAACATGGTAATCTTTAAATATATTTATCCATTTCTGGGATTGCAAAAAGCCCTCTCTTATTATTATTAATTAATACTGGCTTAGAAATGGACTGTTTTATATCCTCTAATTTATACCACAAAACATCTTTTCTTTTGGGCCATCGCCATCCAGAACATCCGCTTTTTTCCATTGCTGAAATTTGGAAATTGTACAAATCGTCATCGTGGTATTTGGACAAGTTTCCTTCGTCAACATTTAATATTAAACCTGGGAAGTATTTTTTATTATACTCTACAACGACGTAGTCACCAATATTTAAAGTATCTAGGCATTGGCTTGTATTTTCTTCGGAATCTTGTTGGTCTGGACTTAATTTTCCCGTTTTTCTTTGGTTCTTACTGCCTTCTTTTAATATGCTTTTTTCTTCTCTTTTTCTCTTTCGTTCTAGTTTTTCATCTTCTTTCTTCTTCTTTTCTGCATTCTTTTTCTTATGATATTCTTGCCATTGAAATGATGTTGCGACGGATGGGATTTTTTCTTTTGGTTTACGTTTCCCATCTTTTTTTTTTGGTGTAGCAGGCCAAAATAAACATTGTTTAAACGGAGAAGGAACATCTAAACAATTTGACGAAGTTGGTTGATCCTTAGGAATTTCCAAATTATCGATAAAATTTTCCATTTGCTCCGCTTCTAAAAGTAACTGCTCATCCGTTTTTGGACTTCCATACCCTTCCAAGCTTTGAGCATCTGTTTGGAATCTATCTTGCAAGTTTTGTTCATTTGATTCTTGGAGATTTCTTTCTTCAGCAACATCTCCTACGAGGCTATCATTTAGTGACATCCACAACCGGTATAAAGAAGTATCTTCAATGTTTCCATTCCATTCTTTTGAAGCCAAGCTCTTAAATTCTAGAGTTTTTTCAGATCCAATTATTTTTTCAATAATTTGGAGACAACCTTTGACATCATAACCCTCGAGGTTGCTATTATTTAAATTATCATCACTCTGTTTACTAATACCTGATACATTTTTAATTTTCGTATAATCCACAGCATCAGGATTTAGAGGATATAAGCCACACCGTTTAAATCCATTTTGAATAGTCTCCACTGAACATGTCTTCTTTAGAGTTTCATGAAGTAAAGGTGCAAAATCTTCACGTTTAATTTTTTCATAAGAATGTGAGACTCTCCAGTTGTGGACTGAAGTTTTCCATGTTTGTTTTAATGTATGAAAAACAGCAACGTCCATAGGTTGTAATAAATGCGTTGCATTTGGATAAAGGGCAACAAGTTCAATTTTTTTTTCTTTACAAAAATTGCTTAAAGATAATGTTAAATGTGACACATGACCATCTACAAAAAATACGATTGGGAATTTAATGTTGTTTTCGACAAGCCATGGGTAGAATATGTTTGTGACATATTCATAGAAAGTTTCCCCCGTCATCCAACCACTTTCTGATTTGCCGATACTAAAATTTGTTGGCATTAAAGATGAAATTGCAGCAGGTATTCTTTCATAAGAAAATAAAATCATGGGAGGAGCAAGTTTACCAGCTGCATTAGCTAGAAAACAAAGAAGTGCACAAAATATATTTTAGTTTTCCCCCAAACTTACCATTTATTAAAGAAGTTAAACACTCCTTTTCGTCATTAGCCACAAAACTGTATACTGATTTTTGCCCTTTTCGGACCAAAACTCTTGATCCTTTCGGAGATAAAAAAAATGCTGTTTCGTCAGCGTTGTACACCCGTGTGGGATCGCTCATTGCATCCATTAAATCATTCTGAATAAAATATTCTGTGATTTCGATGAACCAGTGTCTAATATTTTCTTCGGTGACATTCGTTCTGCTACTGGTCAAATTTTGAGGCGTTCGGGAAGATACTCTTGGGTGCCTTTTCAAAAATAATTCGTACCAGTGTCTCCCTGGGCGATTATTTTGGAATGGGTTGGGTCTTTTCATTGTTTTTATTAACAGCTGGACGCTGTCAAGTAACTGGTTCTTGGTGACGGGAAATCCCCTATCACTCAAAAAGAAACACCACTTAACAAGCGCTTGTTCTTCTGCAACAGTTAAAACTGTTGGGGCACCGATTCTTCTGTCTTCTGGATATTTTCCCATTTTTTTATAATACAGAGTAATTCTCGGAACATTATATTTTTTTGCTGCCCTAGCAACAGGCATTCCGGATTTAACGTCATGGAGGGCTTGCCTCATTGAGTCTTCACTGTATTTCAGATTTTTTCGCATTGCCATTCTGAATGATAATAACATTTTATGTTTTTTACAAATATATTACCAATAAAGTCCAGGCATGTCAGATATACGCACACCTGAAAAACTGAGCTCGTAAGTATGACACTTTATGTCAGCTTTACGAAATGTAGACTTTTTCTGTTCCTATATCTGACACATACTGTTTTAAGAAAAATATAAACGTTAATGGTAGTTTTAAGACCAACATTGACAACACTACTTTTATACTATAAGATATCAGTAATAGCAAATTGTTCATGCGTTTTTTTAAGCTAATTATACTTAGCAGACAAAGCAGGCTTCTTAACTTACCTGATAAGATTTTGGATAAATTTCGCGGGAATCGGCGCGCGCACACTACCATTACTGTCAAATGACAGTTACAGTCGGTATTAGAGAAAACTTTTTGTACTGTACGAAATAGGAATATTTAAAGAATATTTCTGATGTAGATTTGATAACTGATTAATAGAGGGCCTCTTAATATTTAAATTCACATTTCGGGGTGTCAGCTTTTGGGGGAGTGTCAGCATTTGGTACATTTACCTTAGTCAACATAAGCTGAAAAACTGACAAACAACCTGATAATTGATAAACATTTTTTTTATCTTACACTGCATTAACACCGGATTTCAGTGGTTTTTCAATTGAGATTACACAATAAAAGTTTAAACACACTGGTCTCCAAAAAGTGAAAATAACAATAATAAATGAAAATTCAAACATTTTTCTTTTAAATATTTCGTCTCCTGTCCCAAGTTTAAAGAACACGAGTCGATAAAAACCATAATGCGAAGTGAAACATTTTTAATTCTTAGGAGGTAGCCAAGAAAAGAATTACAACAAAGTCCCTTAACATTTCACAACTTGAGGTCGAGGTGGTGATTTAGTATACATGATGTTAGTTTGTTAATAAAAATTATTAAATTTAGATCATAATAAGTGTTCAGTGTTTTTTTTATATCTAAATACGGTTTTTCCTATTGCGAAATTTAATTATTCCGCTAGTTCGTTGCGTCTGCGTTGTTTTTTATGTTGGTCGATAAAACATTTTATTCTTGGAGTCTACGTAATATCCAAAAGAACCATATTCAGTACGAGGGCTTTTAGTTATCATTAGGTTATCGTCAGTCTCATATATGTGTAATAAAACTACTTTCAATGCAACAAAAACTGAAAATTTTGACGGGAGTAATCCTTTTGTTTATTTTGTGTAAGTTACTGAGACTAAATTAAAACTGTCCCGCCATTGACCATATACCTACAGAGTCCGAACTATAGTCGAATGAGTTATACCGAGGGTTTCAGATTCTGCTCACTTAGTGGTCAATGATGCTATAGTACTAATTTGAAAAATTCCAAACACGAACTGTATTAAAATTTCAAAACCAACTGTGGCGGGAGTTTTTCTTTAAGACTAGGTGGATGCACAATCTGCAGCACTATAATCATGCATTATTCATGTTTCAGTCAAAAATATACATGGAATGGAAGATGCTAACAGGACTCTTTCACCCCAAACTAGTAAAAACAGGTAATTGCAAAAACTTAAAAAGACTTCAAGTGTAAATTTTTTCATTATTTTGTCTTCCTTTTGTTTCGTTCATCTTGTTTTTTGATGCGTTCGCTTCACAATTAAATTGTCAGCCACTTCCAGCTGTACATTACCCCCTCATCCAAAATTTGGTCAATGGACAATCTTCCAAGCAAATCTCACCTCATCTTCAGGAGATGTCGTACCTATGGGTACCGTTCTCGAAGTCAGTTGTTACGACAATTACAAATTAGAAGGGGGTGGAATCGTTCTTTGTGTTCGGGGCGAATGGAAACCTACTCTGGGCAACTGTTTAAGTGATTGTGGTACTTCCCTTTGAAAATTAATTACTACAAAAGTAGTATCGTAGGCACTTGTCCTTCGTTGCACACCTCGACTACTACAACAGTTAATTGTACCTACAAAGGGGAAACTTTAGCAACTTGTAGCGATGTGGTCGAGGGTACCAGAGCAGAGTTCCGTTGTGCTCCGTTTTATGAAATTCAAGGGATGAATAAGTTTCCAGTAAGAATATGTTCCAATGGACAGTGGAGCGGTGGTCTTCCAGAATGCGTACCAGGTAATATTACGTGAATTTTTAACGAGTGAAACTTTTAAAAGTCCCGTTTTAAGTGTGCGGTAAAAAAGGCATCACAAAGGATTATACGTTAATTGTGGGAGGGTTCAACACAACGTCACTAGAATACCCTTGGCAAGCGGCCCTTTATGTCAAAAGTAACAAAGTATTAATCTGTGGAGGGACACTACTGAGTCAAAGGACAATCTTAACAGGTGTACTTATAATCAAGTTTTGACTATGTCTGTTTCCAAATTGATCATTTATAGCTGCACACTGCGTGACAAACGACAAAGGTCAACTAGAACCGAAAGAAAACTACGTAGTGGCTGTTGGCAAGTCGTACCGAAGCTACGACGATTCGAGGGACCCCGCAGCTCAATTTTCTTCCGTATTGTAGATACCCATTGCCACAAAATTAGCGCTATGTAGTTTTTGTGTTTCAGATAGAAGAAATCTATGTTCCTAGACAATACAGAGGCTACATTCAACGTTATTTTGGAGATATTGCCATTATAGTTGCAAATACAACGTTCGTTCTTTCGCTTAACGTTCAACCAGTTTGTGTAGTTTGGGAAAAAACATTTCATCAGTCACTAGAGAATGTCACCAGAGTGAAACAATCTTACGTGAGCGGTTGGGGATTTACTTCCGAAGACGAGAACCCTTCAGACGTTCTTAAATCGTTAAAAGTTCCAGTTATAAATAAAACTGAGTGCGAGCACAGATTATCTGAAGAAGATTTAGAATATCTGACCTACGATAAACTATGTGCCGGTTTCTTAGATTCTGGTAATTTTTTTTTATGTATTTTGAAGAGGTGTTAAAAACGGATTTCAGGCATGTCTGTGTGTAAGGGCGATAGTGGTGGAGGTCTGGTTACCAAGCAAGGTGACAGATATTATATTACTGCAGTTGTCAGTATTGCGCCGCAAGTATCTTCAAGACCAACAGGTGGATGTGATAGCCAAAAATATGGTTTCTACACCAGATTCTCGTATTACATTGAAGACTTCATAATCGATCTAGAAGCCAAATTTGGGGGAAATTACAGGTCCCAACAAAACGTGTCCTGCACGGATGGGCACTGTCTCCCTATCTCTATATCAACGACTTCTACAAGGTAAAGTACTGACGCTAAAAATAACTCAATCCATCAAAGTACGACTTCAGGAGTTGTATATTGCCCGATCATCCCACGTTTGGTAACTGGTCCATCTTTGGTCCATCCCCCAATCATTTTATACCAGGAATGTTGGTATCATCAGGCACTGTTTTAAAAATACAGTGCAACCCGAATTACATCCTGAGGGGTAACATCACCCTCTTTTGCAACAACGGCTTCTGGTCATCCAGTGTTGGCCAGTGTTTAGGCACGTATTCGCCCCAGCCCAAAATCCTAATTTACAAATTTATAAATGTTTGATAGCAGATGGTAGCCTTCCACGCTGTTTTCTTACGGGTACATACGGTTGCTGTCCAAATAACGTCACAGCAGCTACAGGACCCAATAATGAAGGATGTGGGTGCGAGATCAGCGAATATGGGTGTTGCCCGGATGGTACTTCGGAAGCCAGAGGTCGCTACTACGAAGGCTGCACGGCTGTTCAAAGAAACTTGCCAGCGATTTGCTCTAAGCCCAAAGAACGCGGGCTCTGTTTGAAGGAGGAATGGGTTTGGTATTATAACCCCGATACCGATGGGTGTGCTCCAATGACGTTTAATGGTTGTAATGAACACAATGGAATTACTACTAGAGAGGAGTGTGAACGTACTTGTTCGACTGAAACGCACAAAGCATATTTGGCTCTTTTGAAAAGTCGTAACATAGACATAGAGGGTCCCCTTAAATCCTTAGATCGTTTGTTATTTACACACAAATACTCAAACTTGATACATTAACTAGACATGGAGCTATCTGTTGCCGTTTTCTACGTCAAGGGGAGTTGTATAATGTTTATCGCACTTCCATCTTTAAACCGCTTTTTTGACTAACCTGTCTTTCAAGTTCATATAAAAAAAAAACAGTTTTAGAGTTTAGAGTAAATACCGTATTTTAAGTGATGTAATCATAACGTATCAGAATTTATCGATGCCCTATAATTTACTATTTCTTTCGGTATCAACTGTGAATTATTTGACCAGAAAATACTGATTTTTTTTGTGATGTTCATAGTGTATTGTTTTTGAAGTCGTGTGAGAGTTATCTAGTGAAATAAGGACATAAAAGAACCTTAGATAGACTGTTCGAAATATTACTAAAAATTTGTTAAGTCCTCAGGATCTTTGATCGGAAGTGTACACTACTGTAATATACATATAAATCATACCATCTTTCAGAAATGTCCACCTTGACAAGATTTTTATTTCTGTTTTAAGTAGTTATGCCAAGTGGAACATTTTTATTTTTCGGGAGGTGGCCAATAGCAATAAAGTCGGTTGACATTTCACAACTCGAGGTATATCTACGAAGATATAGGATTTTCCACCACCGTTTATCTGTTTCCTTGAAATGTGCGCTTCAACATGGTGATTTAGTCTACATAATCTTAGTTTGTTAATAAAAATTATTAAATTTAGATCATAATAAGTGTTCAGTGTTTTTCTTTAAACTTATTTATATGTTTTTTTATTTTTAGTGCCATCTTACTTTGTGTTAGAATCTAAACAAAAAACTTACCTACAAGAATTATATCTAATATACGGTTTTTCCTATTGCGGAATTCAATCATTCCGCTAGTTCGTTGCGGCTGCGTTGTTTTTATGTTGGTTGATAACATATTTTATTCTTGGAATCTACGTAATATCCAAAAGAACCATATTCTGTAGGAGGGTTTTCAGTTATCGGTAGGTCATCGTCGATCTCACATGTGTGTAATAAAACTACTTTCAATGCAACAAAAATTGAAAATTTTGACGGGAATAATCCTTTTGTTTATTTTGTGTAAGTTACTAAATTAAGACTCTCCGGTCATTGACCATATGTCTACAGAGTGTCTAAAAAAGTTGTCTTACATATTCGACTGAACTCGAACTTTGCCGAACTACCGTCGCATGTCAAAAGACTGTTATTTTACAATTTAGAAGTGTAGACAATGTTAATGTAAATGTGACCTATAAAATATAAAGAAAGTTAAACTTCGACTGGAGTTATACCGGATGTTTCAGATTTTGCTCCCTTAGTGGTCAATGCTACTGTACTAATTTGAAAAATTCCAAACACGCGAAAATTTCGAACTGTTTATGCTCAAATTCAAAATTGTGGGGAGAGTTTTTCTTTAAGACTAGGTGGATGTACAATCTGAAGCACTATAATCATGCATTCATGTTTCAGTAAAAAATATACATGGAATTACAGACGCCAACAGGCCTCTTTCAGCCCAAACTAGTAGAAACAGGTAATTGCAAAAATTTAAAAAGACTTGAAGTGTCAATTTTTTATTTTTACTTCCCGAGCGTAAGCAAAGGAAGTATTGTAATCGAGTCCGTCGGCCGACTCTCTACTTTTACGTTTTCTCGATCTTTCATGACCCCTAGAAGACGAAGAAATAGGTCTCCCATTTCCGTCTGTCTGTCCGTCTGTCCGTCTGTCCGTCTGTCCGTCCGTCTGTCCGTCTGTTGTCCCGGATTTTTATTAGACAGATAATCTCCGAAAGTACTCGACCGATTGTTGTGAAATTTTGTACTTATATTAAGAATATCATGTAGATGGTAAAACGCTAACCAAAATTTGTCTAATCATCCCCACCACTAATGCGATGACGTCACTTCAAAATTGTACATAGTAAATGGGTTTTCAATTGTATAAAATAACATAGTCCTACACATGTAGTTTACAACTCTGAATCGACTTTTCACCCGAAACGTCCAGATTTTTGGAAAAAAAATCAAAATTATAAAACAACATTTTGAAATTTAATTTTTAATCTGCTAACCAGAATGCTTTGAAATGTTGCAGATGTTTTAAGGCTATAAAGAGCATCATAAATCTTTAGTTAAAAAATATTTGCTTATCCCCTCCAAAAACTTGATGACGTCAGCTCAAAAGTTTGTGGAATAAATCATATCTAAAATGTACAAAATATGATGAGTCTGTACTTGTGATCGATCACTCCATTCATATTTTTTGGATTTGCATATACAGGGTGACTCAAAAAAATTAATGAATGCGTAAATATATTTTATTGATTTAATCAGGAACTACAAAACGGAATGCTCTGACATCTTGCAGATGTTTTAAGGTTATAAAGAGCACAATAAATGTTTAGTCAAAATATATTTGCTTATCCCCTCCAAAAACTTGATGACGTCAGCTCGAAAATTTGCCGAATAAATCATATCTAAAATGTACAAAATATGATCAGTCTGTACTTGTGATCTATCACTCCATTCATATTTTTTGGATTTGCATATACAGGGTGATTCAAGAAAATAAATGAAAGCGTAAATTTATTTTTTTGATTTACTCAGGAACTACAAAACCGAATGCTTCGAAATCTTGAAGATATTTTAAAATTATCATAAGCATGGTAAATTTTTGATCAAAACGTATTTGGTGGTCCCCCCTAAAAAATTTATGATGTCACCACAAAATTTTGCTGAAAAAATCCTATCTAAAATGTACAAAATATGGTGAGTCTCTTCTTGTGATTTATCATTCCATTCAAATTTTTTCGATTTGCATATACAAGGTGACTCAAAAAAATTAATGAATGCGTAAATGTATTTTATTGATTTAATCAGGAACTACAAAACCGAATGCTTTGAAATCTTGCAGATGTTTTAAGGTTATAAAGAGCATAATAAATTTTTAGTCAAAATATATTTGGTTATCTTCTACAAAAAACTGATGACGTCAGCTCAAAAGTTTGCCGAATAAATCGTATCTAAAATGTACAAAATATGATGAGTCTGTACTTGTGATTTATCATTCCAATCATATTTTTGGATTTGCATATGCAGGGTGACTCAAAAAAATTAATGAAAGCGTGAATTTATTTTATCGATTTAATCAGGAATTAGAAAACCGAATGCTTTGAAATCTTGGGAATATTTTAAAGTTATTATAAGCATGGTAAACTTTTGTTCAAAATGTATTTGTTCATCCCTCCTAAAAAAATTGATGACGTCACCCTCAAATTTTGCTGAATAAATCCTATCTAAAATGCAAAAAATATGATGAGTTTGTACTTGTGATTTATCATTCCATTCATATTTTTTAGATTTTCTTAAGAGGTGGTTCAAAAAAATTAATGAAGTCAATTTATTTTATTGATTAAATTAAGGGCAACACTTATTATTAGAATTACACCCCAACCAACCCAATTTGGTAGACACAAAATTTGTTAAAGGAAAAACTCGGTTGAAACATAAGGGTAGCACGCTTATTTACATCGACTTTAACATTACAGACCTGCATTTGTTTTATGCGCTCACTTGGTTCCGCGAATGTGAAATAGACATGTTTATAATCAACCAATTGTGAATTTCACCGTCAAGAATTAAAATAAAACCCAATGTTTTATATAATAAGCGGAAGTCGAAGCAATAAAACCGATGGTCGTTTTGTTTACAGTTTCTCTGTTTGACTCTCACGTATGCTGTTACGCCTGTCATCTTAAATTAAGAATGTTTATACATACACGATTTTCAGTTGCCTCTGATACGTATACGTGAATAAATTGTTTCGTTACTTTATTGATTATTACAAATCAATATTCAAAACGACCCAATTCATTTTCCCGAAAATTTGAGAATATAATAATTTTATTCTTAGTATTACACTACATCTATCCCAACTGATATACGTGTCCTTGCAAAAATGTTGATGACGTCATCGCAATTTGTTTTTTAAATTCCCACTACAAAAATGTAATCAGAAAAAAAAACACAATAGGCATGCAGTCGTCAAGTTTCCGACAGCGAGGGAAGTACCTACTGTCTAAACTCTTTAGACCAATTTTTTTGTCTTCTTTTTGTTTCGTTCTTCTTGTTTTTGATGCGCTCGCTTCAGAATTAAATTGTCAGTCATTTCCAGCTGTATATTACCCCCTCATCCAAAATTTGGTCAATGGACAATCTTCCAAGCAAATCTTACCTCATCTTCAGGAGATGCCGTACCTGTGGGTACTGTTCTTGAAGTTAGTTGTTATGATAATTACAAATTAGATGGTGGTGGAATCGTTGTTTGTATTCGGGGTGAATGGAAACCTACTCTGGGCAACTGTTTAAGTGATTATGGTACTTCCCTTTGAAAATTAATTACTACAAAAGTGGTACCGTAGGCACTTGTCTTTCGTTGCACACCACGACTACTACGACAGTTAGTTGTACCTACAAAGGGGAAACTTTAGCAACTTGTCGCGATGTGGTCGAGGGTACCAGAGCAGAGTTCCGTTGTGCTCCGTTTTATGAAATTCAAGGGATGAATAAGTTTCCAGTAAGAATATGTTCCAATGGACAGTGGAGCGGTGGTCTTCCAGAATGCGTACCAGGTAATGTTACGTGAATTTTAAATTAGTGAAACTTTAATGAGTCCTTTTTTAAGTATGCGGTAAAAAAGGCATCACAAAGGATTATACGTTAATTGTGGGAGGGTTCAACACAACGTCACTAGAATACCCTTGGCAGGCGGCCCTTTATGTCAAAGGTACCAAAGTATTAATCTGTGGAGGGACACTACTGAGTCAAAGGACAATCTTAACAGGTATACTTATAATCAAGTTTTGACTTTGCCTGTTTCCAAACTGATCAATTATAGCTGCACACTGCGTAACAAACGACAAAGGTCAACTAGAACCGAAAGAAAACTACGTAGTGGCTGTTGGCAAGTCGTACCGTAGCTACGACGATTCGAGGGACCCCGCAGCTCAGTTTTCTTCCGTACTGTAGATACCCATTGCCACAAAATTAGCACTACGTAGTTTTTGTGTTTCAGATAGAAGAAATATATGTTCCGAGACAATACAAAGGTTACATTCAACGTTATTTTGGAGATATTGCCATTATAGTTGCAAATGCAACGTTCGTTCTTTCGCCCAACGTCCAACCAGTTTGTATAGTTTGGGAAAAAAAATTTCATCAGTCGCTAGAAAATTCCACCAAAGTGAATCAATCTTACACGAGCGGTTGGGGCTTCACTTCCGAAGACGAGAACCCTTCAGACGTTCTTAAATCGTTAAAAGTTCCACTTATAAATAAAGCTGAGTGTGAGCACAGACTGTCTGAAGAAGATTTAGAGTATCTGACCGACGATAAACTGTGTGCCGGTTTCTTGGATTCTGGTAATTTTTTTTAAGTATTTTGAAGAGGTGGTGAAAACGGATTTCAGGCATGTCTGTGTGTAAGGGCGATAGTGGTGGAGGTCTGGTTACCAAGCAAGGTGGTAGATATTATATTACTGCAGTTGTCAGTATTGCGCCGCAAATATCTTCATCTGTCGGTGGATGTGATAGCCAAAAATATGGATTCTATACCCGATTCTCGTACTACATTGAAGACTTCATAATCGATCTAGAAGCCAAATTTGGGGGAAATTACAGGTCCCAACAACGCGTAGCCTGCACTGATGGTCACTGTCTCCCGATCTCTATATCAACGACTCCTACAAGGTAAAGTACTGACGCTAAAATACTCAAACCATCTAAGTACGACTTCAGGCGTAGTTGTGTATTGCCCGATCATCCCACGTTTGGTAACTGGTCCATCTCTGGTACATCCCCCACACATTTTATACCCGGAATGTTGGTACCATCAGGCACTGTTTTAAAAATACAATGCAACCCGAATTACATCCTGAGGGGTAACAACACCCTCTTTTGCAACAACGAATTCTGGTCATCCAGTGTTGGCGAGTGTTTAGGCACGTATTCGCTCCAGCCCAAAATCCTAATTTTCAAATTTATAAATGTTTGACAGCAGATGCTAGCCTTCCACGCTGTCTTTCGAGTCCATACGGTTGTTGCCCAAATAACGTCACAGCAGCTACAGGACCCAATAACGAAGGATGTGGGTGCGAGACCAGCAAATCTGGGTGTTGCCCGGATGGTACCACGGAAGCGACAGGTCGCAACTTCCAAGGCTGCAAAGCTGTTCGTAGAAAATTGCCAGAAAATTGTTCTAAGCCCAAAGAACGCGGGTTCTGTTTCAAGTCTGACTGGGTTTGGTATTATGACGCCGATTTCGATAAGTGTTCTGTAACGGCGTTTCGTGGTTGTAATGAACACAATGGAATTACTACTAGAGAGGAGTGTGAACGTACATGTTCGAGTGAATCGGGCCAAGCATTTTTGTCTCTTTTAAAAACACATAACATACCTGCCCCCCTTGAACCCAAAGATGTCTTAAACCTATCCGCATTGTCTTTCCCTGATCCTCACGATCTATTTTTGTCAGGTTTTTAAAAATCGAGGCGCAAATGGATGTGGTGGATAATATTAGAAGCAATTAAATTATTTTTGGCGAAATTGGTGTTTCTTTTTGATACCTACTAAGAAAAACTAAACAAAACAAATTTGTTTTACTGGTTGCCTATCTGAGCTTTGAGGGCCGGTAAAGCAGATCGCTTACCTGTCAGTGATGGTGACGTTTTGATCTTCCCAATCTCAAGTTTAATAATTTGGTACAATGTTACGTGTGTAACGTTAATTCGCCGTGTTGCTCCAAACAATACATCGCTCACAATGTGTTTGAACATCCGCCACTGATAAAAATCTAAAATTATGACTTCGCAGGTATGACAGTGCCTCACTTTTTCCCTGATTTATTATTAATTGATTGCAGTACAGAAACACCGTAAGATAATATCGAGACCATGCGACTGAAACGCACAAATTTAATACTTGGATCCTTTATGGTAATTTGGGCTTTAGTATTGTACTTTGCATTCTTGACTCACTTGACGAATACAAACGAAAATAATGGAAACGTCGACAAGCAAATCATGATGCTGGAGCAAGGCATATCGGAGCAGTTCAAAATAAATAACGACATGATCCATGACGCCCGCAGGTTCCTCGAACGCAAGAAAACTCAGGGGGACGCCGTAGCCGGCAAACAAAAGGACTTCCAAGACTTCAAACTACCCATTCTAGTATTCGCGTGCAATAGAGTTAGCGTCAGTAAATGCTTAGATAGACTGATTCAATACCGCCCTGATCCCGACAAGTTCCCTATCATAGTCAGCCAAGTAAGCACTACAATTTTCGCGACACACTTCTTTCACGGTTTTCGCAGGACTGCAATCACGAAGAAACCACCGAAACCATCAAAAGGTACGGATCTCAAGTGTCGCTCATCCAGCAACCGGACCAATCAGACATCCAAGTCCCCCCGAAAGAAAAAAAGTTCAAGGGGTACTTCAAAATCGCGCGCCATTACGGCTGGGCTCTCAACCAAATGTTTTTCAATTTCAATTTTAGTACTGTTATAGTAGTCGAAGGTTACATTTCGTTGAAGTCGTGACTGTTGACTGATAGAGTTATTGCAGACGACCTCGAAGTGGCTCCAGACTTCTTCGAGTATTTCTTAGGTACTTATCATATTTTAATGCGCGACGCGTCGCTGTGGTGCATCTCCGCGTGGAACGACAACGGAAAGGAGGGGCTGGTCAACGAGGACAGGCCGGAATTGTTGTACCGGACGGACTTCTTCCCGGGCCTAGGTTGGATGCTGACCAAGTCCCTGTGGCTGGAGCTGTACACCAAATGGCCTAGAGCCTACTGGGATGACTGGATCAGGGACCCCATGCAAAGGAAAGGGAGGGCGTGCATAAGGCCGGAGTTGTCCAGGACGAGGACGTTTGGCAAAACTGGAGTTTCAAAGTAATTGATTTGAATTGTCATGACACTGTGAAGCTACTAATTAATTAATTATTACTACTAACTAATTATTAGCTAACGCATGTCATATGACACAGTTAGTTGTTAAGTGGAATTAATTAATTTTTAATTGCGCACGCCATTGTAATTAATAACTAATTAATTGTCAGTAATAGTCAAGCTAATTATTTCATTTGGTGAGTACAATGCAGAGAAATTCGTACCTATACTTTTTCCCGCAGTTGTGGTCAAGGAAATTAAGTTAAATTAAATTAAATTAGAAAAGATGATTTCCGGGGTCACACAAGTGGGGCAAGTGGGAGCACCGCCCTGTATGTCGTTCTGTTTCAGCGGGATGTTTTACGAGAAGCACTTGAAGTACATAAAACTGAACGAAAAGTTTGTGCCTTTTACGAAAATGAATTTAAGTTCTTTAACGAAGGACGCGTACGATAAGGACTTTATTAGAGATGTTTACCAAAGCGTGATTGTTAGTTACCAAGAGTTGAAAGATGGGAAAATTGCTCACGATGGACCTGTCCGGATTATCTATCGCACAAAAGAAGAATACAAGTTAATTACGAAGAAGTTGGGGCTCATGGATGACTTTAAGGTACTCCGGGCACGGTACAATTGCGTAATATACAAGCTTGTTTTTCAGAGTGGCGTTCCGCGGACTGCCTATAAAGGAATAGTCACTTTTCACTACAACGGCAGGATGGTGCATTTAGCTCCTAACCTTAATTGGAAAGGTTACGACATAACCTGGAGCTAACCCTAAAGGGTTCCTAGATACTTATCAGACATTCCCATGTTTGACTAATAAATTTGTTGTTTTATGTTGGCACATTTAAAATGTGGACTGTTGGCATTTTTTTATCAATTTGAAATTGTGATATGAACTTTTAGAAATACGTGGCAACTCTGTTTTGTGAGTTATTTATTGCGATCGAGAAGCGGGTTGAAGTAGGCTTGGAAGCGCGGCCTGCTTTAACCCCATATGTAATTAAGTTTTTCAATCGCCTGGTAGATTGTTATGCAAATAAAGTGTACAGACGACATGCTTTCATGTAAATAAAAGTAAATGAAAATTTGGGAGTGCGCATTTTATTGCGATTTGACAGCTGTGACCTTGACGCATCGTTGACTTTCCAGTGTAGTCAATTTTTAGACACACCGCGTATATATTTGTAATGTAACTTGCAAGCGCGTTTATTGATTCAATCTTCGTCCCTCTTTATTCACAAATGTGATAAGATAAGTCTTAAAATCATTCCTGTAGTAAATAGTCAACATAACCTCACTTTTCGTGCTTGAGTAAAAATTAGCAACTTTTGGTTACTCAACATGGATAAACTTAAAGAAACCCATTACTTCAGTCTACCGTCTCAGGGTAACATCTACACCATGACCCACCTGCAGGCCGCCAACTGCCCCCACAAAATCCTCGTCGCGTCGTTAAAGCGCGACATCTTCTGCCTGGAATATCAAGAGTCGGCTGCAGGTCTCATTCCAACAACGAAAGAAGTCTCCTTCACATACATTCCCAGTACGAAATTACCACAAACATTTCTCTTCTAATTCACGTTTTCAGGCGGTGCGGAAATCATTTCAGTGGACGCATTCAACAAATCAGACTCTAAAAACGAGTTTGTTATTGGCATAACCATAATAAAAGTACTTCGTACTGACTTCTCTCCACAGAACTAATTCGCAATTCGTAGAACAGCAATTTAATGGACGCGTTCGAGTTTTACCTCAACATCTACTCCGAGTGGGAAGAGAACGAAGACTTTAACATCGACAACATTGCACAGAACTGCTTGAACGTGGAGCTGAGTTTCACCCCGTACCAACTCACCCACACGGAACTGATCGTGTGGGACGGCGACACCATCGCAAGCAAAGAAATCGTGTTTTTGTTGTCGGGAAGCGACAACCAAGTCCATGTTTATCGAGAGTACACGACCGATCACTTGTACAAAGAAGTAGACAACAAAGAATACTTCCCGGAGTTTATCAAAACGCCAAGTCCGGTGATTTGGATCGACATACATTTGAACGACGACTGCACAGAGTATGTCACTTTTGTTAAATTAACTTAACATTAGTTAGTTTTATTTTTTCAAACATAACGCGCAAAAGTTAGGTTATGGTTAAATTACATAGTCAGCCAATCGCACGAGACTATGTAAGTCACGTGCGCAATCGTGTTTTCACCAGTGGCGTATCAAAACGGCTACATTCAGGTTTTTCAGGCGCCTCACGGCAGTGGCGTGCGAATGTGGCTACGTCCGTCTCACCAAAGTGTGTGTAAAAACGAACAAACTAGTCTTCAATTTTTCGACGAAGTTGAACAACTATATTTCCCATTTGAAAATCTTTCCGGAGGAACAAAGTGTGGCGACGGAGGTGGCTTTAAATAATCTTGATAGAGGTGTTCTTACTAAGAAAGGGGCGCTGAATTTGGTAGTGGTGAACACGATTTTGCCCCCGGTTCTCTTCGAGTGAGTAGAGGTTTGTCTGAGGGTTTAACTTAGTGGGGTTTGTAGAGACGTGCTTACCTATGGTTTGAGTAATTATATATCGCTGCCTAGACACGATTACACGTGTGTGTTGACGTGCTGTCAAATCGCGGATGTGGATTTTGACGGCGAGCAGGAAATTCTAATCGGGAATAGTTCAGAGGTGAATTGGTTTATTTTTGTTGTGGTTAGTTTAACTTGGCTTTAGGAAATAATGGTGTATAAGCGGGATCCCGATAAAGGTTGGTGTTTGGAAGAACTGAAGATGTTCGCCTCGCCTATAATTAGTATGAAGTATGTTGATTTGTTGGAAGACGGGATTAACGAATTAGTGGTCTTGTCACTAAGAGGTGTACACTTTTTACAGGTAGTTGTTTGTATAGTGTGAAATAAAAAATTGATTTGTCATTATTTTAGCACGACTTTTCGTTCGTGGACGAAGTTCTTAGTGAGAAAATAAAGTCTCTTAATTTTTAAACTTTTTATTAGTGAATCCAGGCACAGATAAATTCATTTCGTGGGACTATAGTAGCTTAAATGTTACCTACGGCAATTAACTTAACGCCTACAATATATACAAAAAAAGTGACGAAACAGAAATACTCCTCCAAAATATCACGAATAAAAATAAACACAACATAATTTAACTAGTGTGGAGGCAATTTGTACTTCATCAATCACGATAGTTACTGAATTGCATTGTTGCATGGAAGTCGTTCCGCAAGTATTTACAAATTACGTAAACCACACCTAATACTGTGTGAATGAGCCTTCGTTGAGCACACAAATTCTGCAATTGATAGAGTACAATTGCCCTCGCGAAACTGTTAAGTATACAAAAATATTTTCTTAATTAGTAACAAGTGTGGTTCTGGTAAACTGATGGGTGTTTTCGTAATAAGAAACATTGCAATAACAGGTCGATTTATAGTAAATACTTATCATTTTAAGCTAAATCCTAACCAGTCTTAACAATTCACGCATTTGCACTTAACGTAACTGCTTCAACCATCTTAAAAAAAATGATGATATGGTACAAACTGCGACTCCCGATTCGATATAGTCTATTTAAAAACCACCACACGTATGTACCACCTCAAGTGCAATTATTTACAATAATTACAATTAGTTACTTCATTCATCGAAAAATAACTTCTGAACTTTTGTATTTCTCTCCAATCCAGAATTCAAAAATATAATTAGGACTGCTAAAACCGATTACACATACAAAATATATAGATAACGTAGCAATATAAATAAAGCTTTGGTAAACTACGCTACTGAACCACCAACCATTCGTTCAATCCACGTTGTCTTGGAAAATTAGGCGAACGTACCCGGGCGAGCCCGAGAGCGGCGAAGCGCAGAACGGACAGACCGCGTGGAAGCCGTTCGTGCCGTGCGGAATCGCCACGTTTGCCCAGTACCTGAAACGTGCGAAATGTCATTACGTACACCAACAAACCGTCACAATCCACTCACTTGACCGTCTTCTCGGTCGCCATGTGTCCGCAGGGATTGAAAGCGAAGGTCGGAGGGCCCGAATCCACGTAAAACGCCGGCTCCAAGCCCATAAACACTTTTACCACGGGTCCAAGCTGAAAAACACAGTTACTCACACCCCGACTACTACCGAACCGCTTACTTCGAGACATATAGGACACCGTCTCGCGCCTTCCTCCTCCTGCCCCCAGTCGTGCAACCCCTGCACGTGCCCGCAGTTCAGGTAGACGTAAGGCTGCTGCAAATTATCGTTCGGAGTGACTCTTCGCGGAATGACTAAAGTGTTGAGACCCACCGGGCACTGGGGTCTGCCTGCGTTGATCTCGTCGATCTCGCGCTCCAAGTCACGCTTGCTCTGGAAACACAACAACGTCAATTATCGCTTACAACCAACCCGTTTCGTGTTACCGGCGACTTGGCCAACCCTTCCGCCGACCGCCACAGCAACGTAGCTCCGCACAGGTCGATCAGAGTGCCGTCCTCCAACACGTTGCTTTCGTTCTCGACGACTTGGCCTTTTTGTTGCGCCGATCGTGACTCTCTCAGCGAGAACACCCCTCCTCCGACGGAAGTCTCCAGCCAGTAACTGCACTTGGCGTCGCCTCCGCAGAAGGTCCCTCTCGGATGCATGATTAAGACGCCGTTGGTGGTCAATCCGTCGATTTCGCGGCCGTTCTCCTGCCACTTCGTTGCCTTCTCCTGGAAGAAAATGCGGTTAGGTGAGCGCGGGCCGCCTATGGCGCGTGAGTAATGGGGATATTGGAAGGGTTGGCGTGCGGTGGGTACAGCGGGGGTTCGGATTCGGCGGACGTGCCGACAGTGTTTTCTGGGAAGATTAATGTGAAGTTACGCACCCCGAGGAATATGTTTTTGGACGTGTCGAAGCCTGCAGCGTATATCCTCGCGATTTTGGGATTCTTCCGGTCGCACAGGATCCGACACGCAAATCTCGAAATTGTACTCTGCATCACGCGCGTTTCGCCGGTCTTGTCGCCCGGGACCGTGTCCATTACCACGAAGTCGATGGGGGCTTCGGAGGAGCGGCCGATCTGCAACGAAAGGGACGAATTAGCACACTTTGCGAAAACATTTTAAATACGGATCATTTTTATTTTCTGGGAAAAAATTGGCATCCCCTTTATTAGAGAAATTGAATACATTAGTAAATATTATTTAAATTTTGTAAAATAAGGTACTCCTGTATGCGTGGTTTATGAATCTGTGTTGAGTTTTTACTCTTGGCATCCAGACTTTTCTGAATAAAATCAAGATTGTAACTACGTTTTACAATAATTTAACTGGTGTTTAATTTTTGAGAGAATTTAATTTTTAAGTTGTAACAAAAAACTCCCAAAATCAAGTTTTATACTTCTAAGAAACTGAACTAGCGTTATCGCCTGTTTTTGTATTCTTGGACTTTATAAAAAATTGGTCGTAGATTATTTCGACAGAACTTCTCTCGTCCCTGAAGTCCAGCCCAACAAATCCCGGTGCTTCGATAAATTACAAAAAATACCGAAGAATCAAAATAACCGAAAACCGAAAATTGAGAAGTGAAAAAATTTGAAAAATCTAAATTCGAAAACCTTTGATCGATCGAAATCGAAAATTTGAAAAAAAAATCAAAAAAAAAAGAAAAGTCGAAAAATTTTAAAATTCGAAAAATTGAGGAATCGAAAAACTAAAAATCGGGAAATTGAAAAACCCCAAAACTGAAATGTTGAAAAAATCGAAAAACCGAGAAACCAAAATTGAAAAATTGAAACATCTAGAAATCGAAACATTAAAAGATTGAGAAATCGAGAAGCCCAGAAGTTGAACAATCGAAAACGAAAAATTCGAAAAGGAAACATTTAACTTAAAAAACCTAATAAATCGAAAAATCAAAAACTATAAAAATCCAAAAATTGAAAAATCGAAAAATCTAAAAGCGAGAAGTCGAAAAAACGAAGTATCAAGAAATATAAATACATATGTAAAATTAAAAAAAAAAACGAAAAATTGAAATGTCAAAAATTGAAGAATTGAAAAATTGAAAAATCGAGAAATCAAAAACTCGAAAAATTAAAAAATCGAAATATCGAAAAATCCCAAAATTGAAAAATCCTAAAACTGAAACATCGTAAACTTGAGAAATCGAAAAATTGGGTGATCGAAAAGTGGAAAAAGAATCGCTTAACAGAGAAATTGAGAAAAGGAAAAATCGAAAATTGCGAAACGGCAAAAATTGAGAAATCGACAAGCTGAAAAATGTTCAACCTAAAATCTCCAAAAATTAAAAAACCGAAAAATCTAAAAAATCGAAAGATAGATATCGAAACATTAAAAAAGTGAAAAATCTAACATTTAAAAATTCGAAAAATTAAAAAATGTACATACATACCAAAAAGTTGAAAATTGGGAATTCGAAAAAAAAAATCATAAAACCGAAAAATTGAAAAATCGTTAATATAAAATTTAAAAAGTCGAAAAACTAAAAATCAAAAAACTAGACGTCGAGAAATCGAAAAATCTACAATTAAAAAAAAATCGAAAAATTAAAAAATCTAAAAACTAAAAATCGAGAAATTAAAAGATCTCAAAACTAAAATGTCGAAAACTTGAAAAACTGAGAAATTAAAAAATCCTAAAACTGAAATGTCGAAAACTTGAATAATCGAGAAATTAAAAAAACTGAAAGTCGAAAAATTTTAAAATTCGAAAAATTTAAATATGTACATACAAAAAAGTTCGGGGATTCAAAATATCAAAGAATCAAAAAATGGAAAAATCGTTAATATAAAATTTAAAAAATCGAAAAATTAACAAATCGGGAAATTGAGAAAAATTCCAAAACTAAAATGTCGAAAAATTGAAAAACCGTAGAATGGAAAAGTCGAAAAATCGAAAAATTGGAACATCTAAAAATCGAAACATCAAAAGTTTGAGAAATAGAGAAGTCGAACAATCGAAAACGAAAAATTTGAAATTGAAATCTGATAAATCGAAAAATTGAAAAACTGATACATGAAAATCTCGATAAATTGGATCGGAAACCCGAAAATTGAAAAATTTAAAAACCGAAAAATTTACAAGCGAGAAGTCGAAACCTCCAAAAATTAAAATGTCGAAAAATTGAAGAATCGAAAAATTGAAAAATCGAGAAATCAAAACATGAAAAAATCGAAATATCTATCGAAAAATCCCAAAATTTCAAAATCCTAAAACTGAAACTTCGAAAACTTAAGAAAACGAAAAATTGGGTAATCGAGAGAAATTGAGAAAAGGAAAAATCGAAAAGTTCGAAACGCCAACAATTCAAATATTGAAAAATCGAAAAATTTGAAGATTCGAACAATAAAAAATCGAGAAATCGAAAATTGAAAATTTTAAAAACAGAAAAATTGAAAACTTGAAAAATCAGAAATTTTAAAAATCAAAAAATTGAAAAACCGAAAAATCCAAAAGCGAGAAGTCGAAAAATCGAAAGATCAAGACATAATTAAAAAAAAAACGAAAAATTGGGTAATCGAAAAGTCGAAAAATCAAAGAATCGCTTAATAGAAAAATTAAGAAAAGGAACAATCGAAAATTTCGAAACGCCAAAAATTCAAATATTGACAAATCGAAAAATTTGGAAAATCGAAAAATAAAAAATCGAGAAATCGAAAATTGAAAAATTTAAAAACCGAAAAATCTAAAAGCGAGAAGTCGAAAAATAGAAAGATCAAGAAATAGAGAGATGTAATTTTAAGAAAAAAATAAAAAAATAAAAAAAGTCGAAAAATTGAAAAATCGAGAAATCAAAAGATCAAAACATCGAAAAAGTAGAAAATCGACAAATGTTTCAAAAAATCCCAAAATTGACACATCAAAAACTTGAGAAATGGAAAAATTGAAAAATCTAGAAATCAAAAAATTGGTCTAAAGAGTTTAGACAGTACTTCCCTCGCTGTCGGAAACTTGACGACTGCATGCCTATTATGTTTTTTTTTCTCATTACATTTTTGTAGTGGGAATTTAAAAAAAAATTGTGATGACGTCATCAACATTTTTGCAAGGACACGTATATCAGTTGGGATAGATGTAGTGTAATACTAAGAATAAAATTATTGTGTTCCCAAATTTTCGGGAAAATGAATTGGGTCGTTTTGAATATTGATTTCTTATAATCAATAAAATAACGAAACAATTTACTCACGTATACGGCGCCGGTGTGTAATATCTAGAGAGCGGATTTCTGTCGGGCTAGGCAAGGCCAAACTCGGTACGGCTCGCACGGGATGCGAATTCATTGCCGTTGCGGACTGCACTTCGTTTATTTGAGATTAGAATAACGTTGTTTCGTTGCACTCTGCTGTTAATTCCCGTTCTCATTTACTTAGCCGTTTGATTAATAAATCGTTAATTATATTTATGGAATCCAGCACGTCCCCCCCTATAATCGTGACGTAGCCCGACAGAAATCCGCTGTCTAGTAATATGAGGGGCAACTGAAAATCGTTTATGTATAAACATTCTTAATTTAAGATGACAAGCGTAACAGCATACGTAAGAGCCAAACAGAGAAACTGTAAACAAAACGACCATCGGTTTTATTGCTTCGACTTCCGCTTATTATATAAAACATTGCGTTTTATTTTAATTCTTGACGGTGAAATTCACAATTGGTTGATTATAAACATGTCTATTTCGCATTCGCGGAACCAAGTGACCGCATAAAACAAATGCAGGTCTGTAATGTTAAAGTCGATGTAAATAAGCGTGCTACTCTTATGTTTCAACCGAGTTTTTCCTTTAACAAATTTTGTGTCTACCAAATTGGGTTGGTTGGGGTGTAATACTAATAATAAGTGTTGCCTTTAATTTAATCAATAAAATAAATTGACTTCATTAATTTTTTTGAACCACCTCTTAAGAAAATCTAAAAAATATGAATGGAATGATAAATCACAAGTACAAACTCATCATATTTTGTACATTTTAGATACGATTTATTCGGCAAACTTTTCAGCTGACGTCATCAGTTTTTTGTAGAAGATAACCAAATATATTTTGACTAAAAATTTATTATGCTCTTTATTATAACCTTACAACATCTGCAAGATTTCAAAGCATTCGGTTTTGTAGTTCCTGATTAAATCAATAAAATAAATTTACGCATTCATTAATTTTTTTGAGTCACCCTGTATATGCAAATCGAAAAAATTTGAATGGAATGATAAATCACAAGAAGAGACTCACCATATTTTGTACATTTTAGATAGGATTTATTCAGCAAAATTTTGTGGTGACATCATAAATTTTTTAGGGGGGACGACCAAATACGTTTTGATCAAAAATTTACCATGCTTATGATAATTTTAAAATATCTTCAAGATTTCGAAGCATTCGGTTTTGTAGTTCCTGAGTAAATCAATAAAATAAATTTACGCTTTCATTTATTTTCTTGAATCACCCTGTATATGCAAATCCAAAAAATATGAATGGAGTGATAGATCACAAGTACAGACTGATCATATTTTGTACATTTTAGATATGATTTATTCGGCAAATTTTCGAGCTGACGTCATCAAGTTTTTGGAGGGGATAAGCAAATATATTTTGACTAAACATTTATTATGCTCTTTATGACCTTAAAACATCTGCAAGATTTCAGAGCATTCGGTTTTGTAGTTCCTGATTAAATCAATAAAATACATTTACGCATTCATTAATTTTTTTGAGTCACCCTGTATATGCAAATCCAAAAAATATGAATGGAGTGATAGATCACAAGTACAGACTCATCATATTTTGTACATTTTAGATATGATTTATTCCACAAACTTTTGAGCTGACGTCATCAAGTTTTTGGAGGGGATAAGCAAATATTTTTTGACTAAAGATTTATGATGCTCTTTATAGCCTTAAAACATCTGCAACATTTCAAAGCATTCTGGTTAGCAGATTAAAAATTAAATTTCAAAATATTGTTTTATAATTTTGATTTGTTTTCCAAAAATCTGGACGTTTCGGGTGAAAAGTCGATTCAGAGTTGTAAACTACATGTGTAGGACTATGTTATTTT